ATTAAAAGACTTTAATTATTTGGAACACTAACATCAAAACTGTTTACTTGAAAAGATTTCTTTCCACTTTAGTCCATCTTCAAACCTGTTACACTACATTTCACTGACTAGTATTACAAATTAGATCAGCATGTTTCCTTATATTTGTAAAAGATAGAACTACAGTAAATTGTTTCACATGGTGTTTAGAAAAAACATATATAAGAAATTATTCTTTCCCTCTTCTATGATAAAGCATAAACCTAGTTTTAAGGTAACAATAACAGTCATTACAGAACTGAATATATTTGACATATTTAACCTCACAAATAAATAAATATATACAAGGGAGGTTACAGCATGTCAACTACAAAACAGAAGCTTTACACTGTAGAATTGAGAGCACTCAAGAGCATCTAACTGACATAGACAGTTTAAAATTACTACATGGTAGTAAAAAAAAAAAAAGGAAAAAATCTTAATTCAGCAAAAATATAGGTAGCTGTACATTAAACTGATAGGTTACAGCTCAGCTTCATTCAGGATATTGTGTTTTCTTTTCATTTATATTTTACTGATGTTTATGTTTTACTGATATTTTTATTTTACTTATGTTTTATTGATTCCTCATTTTTTCAGGAATGTTTGGTTTTCCTTCTCTTCACTTTCGAACACCCTGATCAGGTAGAAATCTCACAGTAAGCTGCTATGTGAACACTATTATCTACAGTAGTTAAGCAGGTGGGATGATAAAATATAAGTTCAGTAAATGCTTGTACATAATCTCTCCCTAGATTATTTCACTTATTAAAGATATCTGACAACACTCATCCCTGTTATTAATTACATTTTAAGTGAATTGGATTGACTTTCATTCATACCACCCCGTAAGTATCTGCAGTTGCAAGACTGAGGTTTCGTTAAGGCCCATGTAGCAACAGCAGTGTTTCTGGATAGAATACCATTAGGACATCCTCCTCCCACCAGGTGTCTGCAGCTAGGGAAAATATGCCACTTGTGCCGTCACAGCATTAAATGATCTCTGCACACAAAAGCATGTGCAAAGAGCAGAGGAAGCACAAATCCATATCCCTAATCACTGAGCATCCACCGGCTTGGCAACTGAAAAATCTCAGCACAACTTTCTGGTCACCTTCTGAATGTAAATGATTAAATATTTGCCTAAAAATAATTTGGTTAAAAAAAAGTAATTTTAAAAATGAAAGCTTCCATTAAGGGACACTCTCCTCTGAAAACAGTACTTGAAAATACCTGTGATGTTTCAGTGCATGCCTTCAGGAATGTGTGCAGCTACAATTTTTATAAAGCCTGTCATTGGATGAAACGATTAATGAGGAGAGGTGCCCTTTTGCCACTCATGGCCAAATGCTAATATGTCATATATTTATAAAGATTAAACAAGTAAGCATTTTATGCTCTTGTCTATTTTCTGCATATATGCCCCACCACCCCCTCAGTCGCTGTGGACACAGTATAACAATGTAAATTCCCTAATATTGCCAGAACACTGTTTAAACTCTGTGCCTCCAACAACCTCAATCAAGTCATCCAACAGGGATGCCTGGAAACATTAGGTGCCTGGGAAGATGTTATTTATTTATTATTGGTAAATGTATCCAGGTTAATCTAATGTTGCAATGCCATCTGATGGAGGTGTCTATACATACAGTATGTCTGAAATACAGAGACTGACGAACTCCTGGGTTTACAAGGAATTCACCTTGTATTTAAATACTTAGGATTAAGTTTTAGCACCATCCATTTTTTTAGAATGTCTGTGGTATACTTTGTGGTTTTCTCTGTCATATTTACAGTATGCATTATTACAAAGAATGTGTGGAGACAGTTCTAGATATACATTTGTAGATCTATATGTAGTTGAATGTCTTCTATTTTGTTTTGTGAAAAAGAACATTAAACATAGACTTGTGATGGGAAATGCTGCATTTCACACATACCAATCAAGAAATGCTGAAACACTGACTTTGTTTAAATTGTGTTTCTTTAGAGATGGATACAAAATGGCCTGAATTTACAGCACATACTGTTTTGCATGATTAGGTCTATTTAGTCAAATACGGTTTGAAAACCCTAACTGGTGTAAGGGTTTTATTCACTTCTGAATAAAGAACAGTCAGCACTAGACAGTCAAGAAGCAAGAATCTAACAAGTGTCATAGGGAAAATGAATATTTTTCAAATGAAAAAGAACACCAGTAAACTGTTCAATGAAAGCTTGCCTGTACTGCGTGAGATGTCTGCTATTTTCTCCAGGAGTCATGACTTATTTCTCTTTGGACTTTATAATTTAAAGTTAGGCTTGTGGTTCTTTAGCCTTAAAAAATACTTGCACAGGATTACAATTAGCTGTCCAGGCATCATGTTGGCCAGCACACACTTAAAATTAGCTCAATACCATGGTGGAAAATTGTCTTCTTCCACAACAGTAAGAAGGTAGAGAAATCAGTCCTTAAGTGGAAGCTGTTAACCGGAGAGCATTATAAACTGGGGAAAAAATAACTAAACAGGTCACATTTTATGACATCCACTATTCTCAATTGCAGGCAGACTTTTTATCTTCCTTTGATTAAAAAGAAAATAAATCAGAAGCCCAGTTAGAACTTTGTGCTACGACTAAATGTGTCAGACATGATGATATTTTTATAGAAGTTGTCGGAGTGAGGATTGCAATATCCTTTGACCTTGTCAATAACCTGGTGGACGGGGATGATTGATGTCTGTTCTCCATCCTCTTGGGCAAATTTTGAAGATGGCTTGTCAAGAAAAACATTCTCTAGGAGGAGGAAAAAGCAACAAGAAGTTAGGGCCTCTTAAGCAAACTCACTGTTAAGAGATGTGTCACTTCCACATAGATATGCTTTCAATTGCCACTACTGCTGAATGAAATTACTGCCCTAAAAGCCAGCAAAGAACTTTTTGACTTGACATTGCTTCTTCTAAATTCTTTTGAGATGACTGGTTTTGTGGGCAGACCTTTCAGGTATTTCTTGAAATTATCCCCTATTCTTTTGCCTAAAGTGTAACTGACTCCTATGACTTTTTAATATATTAATTTACTGTTGATGCTTTGCATCTTGCAAACCAAAAACATTTTGATACACAGGAATAGTGGTGACCTCTATAAATAGTATCTCCATGTAATACAGTATTGGAAAATGACAGTAAACAGATTTAATTATTTCAACGGTGGAGATGCTGAACTACGTACAGACATAATATAACCTGTGCAGAATGAAGCAGGAGATGTCTTGCATCTTAAAGCAGATAACAAGAACTGAAACTGGCCTAAACTTTGTGCTTGTCTAGCATCACCTTTTTTTTTCCATAATGTGGAGAGTAGAGACTGAACAATTGTGGAGAGAAAAAGATGCAAAACCCAGGCATTCCTTCAGAGTCCATGAACTATAAGCCAAGGGTGAAGAGAAAAAGGAGCAAGGCAATTCCCAGTCAGACTGGGAAAGTCTGCTCCAGTGGCTAACATAAGTGCTGTTCAGAGAATGGTCAGTAGGTAGAGCTCATGTAGTGAGAAATGAGAAGGAGAGAGCTTGTCTCTCATTTTCTCAAGGATGTTGTTTTAATGAGCTTTCTTTCTTATATCTTCCACTTAGTGAATAAAGCTGGAACTTTATTCCAGGTAAGGTTTGGATCACTGCAAGCTGACAGTAAGGTGGAGTACCCTGGGAAGCAATGTTTTCTACCAGTGACATTTCTGACTGCTGTTCACAAGACCTTGGTGAAATCACCTTCAAAAATTCATTGTTAAAGGATCATTTAAGAATTAAGCTTATTACTTCAAGTACAATTTAATAAAACCTTTTTTCTTAGAAATAAATTAACTGAAAATAAACAGCAACTTGCCCCTGCAGAAGTCATGATATCAAGCCATAAAAGAGTATAAAGCGCTGCAAAGGAGAAATGGCTTGCAGACTGAGAAATGAGAATGGTTTCACTCATGAAAACAGAAACAGGCATGTTCAGGCATATTGGGATGATTTTTTCAAAGCACTCAAGAATGTCCATGAATTGCAGTGAATAAGTCCATGTCCTGTAGCAAATTTCTGGGTACTCTGTGCCTTTCAAATGTATGCATTTACTAACCAATGGCTTCACACCTAAGTACAGGATTAAAATCATGTATCACTGCAGTAAATGGGAGTTGTATCAGCAAATTCTCTGCAGAGATAATCTTAACTTCTCATTCACAGAGGTGTTGCATAGGGTATTTAAGTACTATCTGCAAGTAGTTTGTTTCAAGCTTGTAGACAGCTGGGGCACAAGATGCTGAAGTAACCTCTTTTGTCCACTCATAAGGGTCCACCCAATATTTGTGTTGGTGCTTTCTACATTCAAGTAGCAGTTCACAGGGTGGCTTTCAGGCATACACATCTTGTCACTCAGAGTTATTCTGGGTGTGACTGGATATAAAAAGAAAAAAGACTAATCTGATAATGGCCACAGACCAAATAGAAATACATTATCTTAAAATCCTGTGATAACTTTTACAAATACTAACAAATCTTCTGGAACTCGATCAGATTGGTTTTGCTTTTAATGTATGCTTTGTGTATGGGTGTTTCAGGACAATTTCCTTTACCCAGACTACTCTACACAAGCACTAATGTCAGGACATGGTCTGTTTTCTAAAATGGTATCTTCCAAATGCTCTATGCCCCATGCAGAGTGCAGACACCCGAAGTTTGAAGCATGCTTATCCTTTGATTCAGCATCAATGGAGTAAGATGTAATAGTGAGAAATAAGCAGTGTTTCTGATTAGCAAAAACCTTTGTGTCAATGAGGACATCATGCAAGAAGCATCCCTCCACCCTGTTTCAACCATGCATTCAACAAAAGCAATTCTCACTTTACCTGTAATGCTCCACCACTGGTGAGGAAAGGGCCTTAGAAGACATTATCTATACCACAAACACATGAATGCTTGTGTCAATTCCAGGGAGCACATTATACCCATATTAACAAGACTTGCCAAGACATGCAGCTATTACATTATTTGCCTGCAATTTAGCTAAGTCATCAAACTGAGAAGTTCAGCTGTATTAAAAACCAGAATCTGAATTTTATTTTTTATTATTTTAACACATGAGAAGATACGCCAGTATATGTTAGCAAAAATTCCTGTGAAGTATCATGAGATGTGTATTTTTAGAGATTAAAGCAAGATGCATTAAAACTTTAAAAATTAAAGAAAAACTGTCATATTCCTTTCATGCCTAATAAACCTTTACATTACAAATTTTGACTACAATGCCAACTAAAATCCCTTTTAGGAACAATTTATGCATGGGATTAAGCTCCTAATTTTTGAAAAAAGTGTATGAGCAAGTTTCTTTTAACTTACTACTTCCTATCTGGTACAGTTTCTTTGTTTTGCTTCAAGAACACATTGCAAAAACTCCAGCCCTAAGTCTTTTTGTCAACCTGATAAAAAGTCCCAAGTCCAACAAAACATTTAAGTGTATTTTTATCATTAATCCCAAGACTAAGGGTCTAAAAACTGATCTGCCATGAGTACAAATGGGAATTCTCTGTCTGCAGAGCACGAGGCTGTCTTCCTCTACTATCAAAATCAACAGTAGCACTGTGATTAGTGGATATTAAGGATGCTGTTTGTGGAAGACTGCTGGTAGAAGTGTCCCTTCATAGGGAAGAGGTGAAGACAGCTTGATCAGGACAGCTGGGTGCACTGCACACCAAACCTGACAGGGCAGCAAAGACAGGCAGCCTAGGGAGGCAGGCACGAGCTGTGTGCTCCCAGCACAGTTGTGAATGGCAGTCCTGAGAGCAAGCTCAGGTGTTATCCGGCAATTTCTAAGATACATGGACATTCTCCATAACCAAAAAGATTTTAAACTCTTATAATATCTGATGTGCAATCTCTCTTGTTAATGGATGCAATGAATATTGGTCACTGAGAAAATAGCAATGTAATTCTTTAAAAAAGGAGATTTCTAGACAAAAATGGTGTGCCTAATCAAATCAGGCAATGATCATCAATAAAAACCCAAGACATTTCCTGGAAACTATGCCATGTATCAAGAAAAGAGAGTGTACCATCATAAGAGAGACACTGGAGACTTAATAAAACAATTTATACTTAAGAAATAACATAACTTTCATTCTAGTAAAATCATCTACTTCATATATAAACACTGTTTCTAATAAATATTTTAAAGCAAGTAAACACATCTTTGGGTTAAATATGTGCACAGATTTTATTACCACTATGTTTATAATAGAGTATTCTGTAATAATGCTATGTGACTTACACAGGACAAAAACAGGAGTTCACTAAAACAGAGTAACGAAAAAAAAAGTGAACTATATAAATGATTTTCTGAAATATTATCTCAGACATAACCAAACTTGCAAATCATTCCCGCTCCTCTCTTTCTTTGCTTCCTTAAAGTCTTCTTAAAGTGAGCACATTTTCATGGTATGAGTGGAATACAGATGATGCCTTTTATTACATATACCATTGACATCTAAATAAATAAGCAGTAGATATGGCATGCTATTTGCAGAAGGGCAAGACAATGCATAATCTAGGAACACAATATCTGTTTCCACGTAGGCTCCATTTGTCGTTTTACCCATTAATGTTTTACAGTTAGATGGAAGGAGTTTAACCAAGTGAATCAGCTGTGGACTTGGACTCTGAAGACTTGATTCCTATTTCCAGCTGTGCTGCCAGCTTTCATGTTACCTTGGGTGATGAACGTCATCGCTCTGTGCTTTGGCTACCCTGTGTTTACAATAGGATAATAAGGAAGATTTGCTTTCATCACACCTACTTTATTTAGTATGGGAACATACCAAGGTCAGAACTATATATTGGATGCATTGTATGTTAGGTAATGATTCTTATTAAACAGTAACATATATTTTAAGAATACACTACACAAATTGATGACATTTTCTCACACTAAACTTTGGGTAGAAACAACTACTGTACCTTTAATATGAAACTATGTATTCACAGACACACTTGCACACAGTGCAAGAACTCACCTGTATGGCTGTTTCGTTTGCAGTATGTATTTGTTGTAGATTTTGATTTGGATGTTAAGTAGGTTGAATTGGAGCCGATGGAACTAGAGGATAAGGATTTCCCAAGATTATCAGAACTCTTCTTTATAATATTGGTTGCTGTTTTGCTCCAATCTAAAAATGATTGAAAAGTTTTACATAAATAACTACCATAGATACTAAATGCCTAATTTATTCAATTATGATTATTTCAGGTAACAGATGCATTTCTTAATATTGCTTACAACAAACAGCCTTTCCTTCTCCTGTTAGGTAGCCTCTTTCGTTCTTAAGAATCATCAAATTATTCCAACTTAATTTATTCTAGCACAATAGTGAAAAATTGGTGGCTCTAGCACTCTAACAATCATTTAGATTAGATTAGATTAGATTAGTTAGACTAGAACTGCAAGTAAGGCCTAGCTTTCCTGGATACAGGAGAGCAGAGAAGCTCTGTAGCCGTATAAGGATATCATATTTTCATGACCTGAAGAGCAAAATCTAAAGGGATGGAGTGCAACATTTACAGTGATCTTACCATCTAAGGGCTTGATTTGCTGACATAGATATTACATAATAACAGATTCTCAGCTGGTTGTTTAGTGTATTGGTGCACTATTATTTAACACTATTTATTTAGTCATTCCCATTTAAAGAGTTTTGTCCAAACCATTAACACAATAGGCTCTTATGCTGGAACAACTTAAAATATCAAATTAAGTAACTAATACTAATAAACTGAGTGAGGAAAACTACAACTGAAAAACTCAACAGTGTGTCCCAATATCCGTAGAATAAAAGTATCTAACTACTTCTGTGTCAGATACTTGCAGGTAAGTGCAGGAAGTTTCACATTTGAGTCACTTTGCTGTTACTCCCTGTGCTTCAACGAAATTCACAAAACGGAAAAGAAGTCCAAACCAAAGAGGCCATTTTATCCCAAATCGCTGCTATAGGGTTTAGGTATGCAAGTTCATATTTGACTTAGATTTCACTATTCTGCCTGAAAATGGTGTCAGATTCATGGCGATTAAAACCAGCTCGTGGAGATTGACTGGTTAATGCTAGGCATAATGGCATCACATTAACTATACTACTAAAGTATTCAATCCCTCATGTTTTTGTTTCTATCATGCCCACAAGCTGCCCAACAGCAGTATAAAAAAAAATTGAAATAATTTGATCCATCTGTGTTTTTCAGTTCAGGAGTTACAGCATAAACCACACAGAAGCTGAACATATGAAACAATTTGGATGTTTGATCAGAATGAATATGATTTTTCCAATTTGTATTAACTATTTGACATAATGAATCAAGTTTTCTTAGTACAAAATGAAAGTATAAATGTTTTATAGTGTACAATGAGAATGTATTCCCTAAACAAAACAGAGCAAGACAAGCAAAAGTCTTGATAGCAAGGCAGTTACTTGAAACCTTGAAACAAATCTTGGATGCCAAGAAAGGAAGGACACAAAGGTATCTGGAGCACTGTTACTACCCAGGATAGACTGGCTTACCATAATGAGTATGCCTCCTCACCACCTCATGCCACCTTACATCAGCTCTAGATTTGAACACTGGTCATTGAGCAGCAACCATAGGAGAAAGAATTATATGGTCCAAATCACTACATCAGGCAGCAAAGCAAAATCCAGTTGGCTGAACACAGTAGTGTAATGCCATCCAAGATGGCCAAAGATGTAGGAAACTACAAATGCAGTGGCCCAAGTGTTACTTTTACGTGTCCAAACCAGCTGCTCTCTTTGCTCCCTGAGTGTTGCACATAAAGTTGAACTCCAGCCCTGGAACTTAATCAGTCTTCTGCTTAAGGAATTTTCTGTATTTCTGAGTGTCTAATGGTCTTTCTGAATTAAATGGTGAGGGACAGATAGTTTAAAAAGGCAAACATAAAAGTAAAAGAAGACAGAGTATTTCTACACGCCTTTTAAGAATTGCTCCTACATCAGCCTATCAGTTCACATAATTCAGTCAACATACTTTAATGCAGGAGAAAATGAGTAAGATGGATTTTGAATGACAGAGTTTGAATCTCTGGATCCTTTTTTTTTTTTTTGCATGGCACAAAGGGCCTTCCAAAACCATGCTTATAGCAGTACAAAATTTACCAGCTGCCTTCAGTGGAAAACTGAAAGACTTGAGAATTCTTATGAAGTGAAATCTGAAAAGTGCCTTGACTTAAGTGACAGCCTATGATTAATATATTTTTCCACATCTTTGTCTTACCTTTCATTATATTAAAAGAAACTAACAAGCTGTTTATGTGGACTTTTAAAGACAACTGCAGCACCTAAAGAGTGAATTGCTTTTACCTGAATTGTCTGCCAGTCGGAATCTGCCACAACAGAGATGTCTCCTCCATTGTTTCTGCACATTTTCTTTCATAGCACAGTGGAATACAAATATAAACAAACCTGTGACAAAAGCAAACAAACACCAAATTAAGCATGTATTTATAAACAGATAAACAGATTAACTAAAGTCTATTATCAAAAGTCTATGAAGTACAAGCAAAGAAAAAATAATTTTAAGATTTTGTTATTGTCATCTATGCCTCATTTAAGAGGTATGGAAATTAACTAAAAATTTCCCCATCCTCTAGTTTCTCTGTGGGTGTCTGGGATATCAGAATACAGAGAATAGGACCCATTTTATCGGCACTGTTCATATAGATTCAATTCTGTGCTGACTTTTTAATTTTTGTTTGTTTGGTTGGTTTTTGTTTTTGTTTTGGGTGGTTGTTTTGGTTTTGGTGTGGGTTTTTTTGGTTTAGAGGAAAATGATTAAAAGGGCTTTTCTTTGAATCAAATGAGTATGTTGCAACCAACAGGACTGCAAGAGATAGACTGCAAAGTTAATACAGACACTATGCTATGAGCAAGGAGAAAATTTATCTCCTTCTGTTCCATACCTACTCAACTGTGGGCTGCATTCTTGTAAAACCAGAAGTCTTGCAAATGGCATTAATAGGTGTCCTGAAAAAGCACACGTGCATTTATGTGCATCACGTGCATGTAGTTGAAATGATTATGAAAATGGTAAGAATATGTTCACAAGAACTAATCAGGTGTCTGGCTACAAACTTCCAAAGTTTTGTGTATGCAATTGCAGTAAAAGTGTTTAAGAATGTTTTTGAAGAGTTGTTTTTTCTCAAGCAATTGTAAACTTTTATTTTCAAGACAGGAGATAAGCATCCTACCATGTTATAAAGTAGGTCTTAGCAAGACATGTGGCACAATTTCATCATTCTACAGACATACTTTGGAGCTAAATATAGTAGTTGGAAATCTTACATGCTCCTGTTTTTTTCCCAGGCAAGCCTTGTCTGTGGAATCTTTCGCTGTTCTCCCACTTAGCCTATTCTTTTTTACTTGTATTCTCTGGGAGAGAGCCAATCTGAGGCTGAACATCTGGGGGCAAAATGCTACTGCCAAATCCCTCATGATTATATATTAAACACAAATAAATGCTACATGAGGTGGGCAACTGTGGTCAAGTGGCTTCCTCTAATACCATTCCTTTATGATCATCATGAATAGTTCTGTATACTAGTGTTTACTATGTTTCAGCTGGTAGAACACAATGGCAGGGTATAGCTTGGATAATAATGCTCTGGAGACTCAAATTATCTTCTCCAAATTTCTGAAGTCTAATTTTCCACTAATGTATGTCATTGAAGTGGACTTATATCTGCTTATAGCCATCAGGCCAGGATGAGACCTCTGAGATCAGTTAACTTTAGATAAGGGTTGTGTCATGAAACCCATTTTTTCCAAATTTTTTCAAGAGCTGATGGGAAAAAGAAGGAAACCCAGAATTCAAAAAAGGCAAACATACCTTGATGCATCTCCTATGTAATCTCTCTTGGATCATGGTTACTGTGTTTGCATTTAGTGAAATATTTTTGTGTGGTTTGTTTAAAACACACGAGTAATTCCAATACAATCATTAGCAGCTCTTACAGTCTTATAGATATACAGTTTGTGGCACAAAGTTCCTCTTAGGGCTTCTGCACGGCTACAAACTTTGTAAATTGATGCTTTATTAAATCGTGGTGAGTGTTTGGAACATTCTGAATTGTTAAAAAAGAAAATGCATATTCTGCAGTAATGCAAAACAAATGTACTGCATTAAGTACTTTGCCTTTGCCCTGTCTGGGCTTGGTCTCCAGAATTTTTTTCTCTGTATTTCATTATTCATTAAGTTTACAATGTGCTTTTAGTAGTACAGCTTTGGTTTTGTTTCCCAGAGACAAATCAGACCCTAGGCTTGGCTGTAGCTTGGCTCTGACTTGAAAGTATTTGGCTTGCCCAGACATATATATAAAATGAGCAGCCAAAAAAGAAATGTTCCCGGATTTTTTACTCTGAGCATTGAGGAGAGAAAAATAATTTCCTATGTAGATGAAATAGCAAAGTACAGTAACACCAGGAGTTGCTGCAATTTGCTTTTTAACTGCCAGTGCACAGAAAATTGCTGATGGAGGCTGCTGGTATAGCTTAAAATACTCATGCCACTTTCAGAAACTTGAGAGAGAATAAATGTATTTACCAAGGTCTCGATAATTAAGCTCATGCTAATACTGATGAAAGACTTACCATACCGAACTGCTTTTTGGCTGCTAGAAAATGCCTCCTGACACAAGTCCTAATTTTTTCTTTCCTCCATTCCACCCCCTTACTGGTACATGAACACTGCACCAGTTATATGTGATTTTAAACATTCCTCTTTTTTCTTTAGCTTTGCCTTACTCTTTCACAGCAATAAGTACTTTCAGATAGGAGATTGTTATCTTCCTGGGCTTGATATGACATGCCTGAGCATATACTGTGTCCCTATTGCTACCACAATCCATGAAAAGCTCATCCCTCTTCTTTTTGCGTTTACTCCTCAGCTTTTTCAGTTTCATCTTCTGACTTAGCTGCCTTCCAAATACTCATTTTCCATTAAATAGGGCAATTACCCCACAGAGACTTAAACAGTGGTGGTCAAGCTTGTTGTGCACTCTGCACATACAAGCTTAACTGATTGCACTGGAAATTCTGGTTACAGAGAACTTGTTTAATTTGATCCTTGGCACGCTTTTCAGAATTTAAATCTTTTTTTCATGTTCTTCCCATACTTCTAAACTCTCTAGGCCCTTCTGAATTTCTAACACAGACACAATGCAGCAAATACTTCATTATGCTGCTAGGGGAATATCAGAATCTGTCCTTTGGAAAAAAAAGGCTTCAGTAAGAACAATAAACCATTTTTGCCATTTTGCCCAGAATTTTAGGTTAAAAGTGACCCAAACAAAACCCCACAACATTATTCTCTTTCCATGAAAGCTCAATAAACCTTTTAGCAGAATAAATACATCTCAACTGTGTCAGATGAAATCCACACAGGATAACATTAAGTCCTTTTTCCATAAAGGGAAGATATTTTGCTAACCCTAAGAAAATTCAATATTTATTTCCATATTTGTGTTGCAACACATGCTCCTTCAATGACATTCTTGAGTTTGTTTCTTGTAATGGTTTTTTCAGGCAAGTTAATTTTTTATATCAATATGTGTGTAGTGTAACATATGCCCTTCCAATGATCTTCTTGGGTTTTTCTCTTCCTTATGCTTTCAATTGTTCTTTATTAGTGGGTAGGGCAAGAGTTGGTTGAGAATCTTATAACATTTGATACATACACAAATTTTAGCTCTGAGCTGAAACTTTTTCTAAATGTCAGCTATATAATTCTGTAATTTATAACCACTTGAGTACAGTTCACAAAATTTTCCAGAAAGACAAACTGTGCTGGAAAATTAAAATATTCAAAACTTGATTAAAGGAAAGGAAAATAATCTGACTGTAACAGTCACTGGATTTTTCTTAACCAAAGAATATTGTATAAGTCTGTGCTATCTCTACACACTGAAACAGGAAAAGAGGACTGAATTTTGTTTTAAGTTTTTCATGCCTTAATAAAATAGTTGTGAGCTTTACAGATTCCCTACAGGAATAAAGTAAGGAAGAAGGTTCCTATATTTGAAAAGAAATGTGACACAGCACCTATTTCAACAGCGAACACTGCAGAATGTTAGTCAGGAATAGCTCTATTTATAATATAGTGCATTTTATGGAAAAGACCTTGAAATGTCAACTAATTTATGAAAAATATTCAATCCCCATGTAGTTGGAATCATTATTCCACATAAGGGAAAACAATGATGGTTTAGTATCAATGGAAAACCTAGAGACTGGATATGAGCTCCTAGTCAAATTACTGGACATAGTATGGCCCAGAACAGCAGTAGCTCAAATATCATCTGTTCACAGAACAAAAATTCAGCCTACCTTGCAAAGAATTGAAGATTGAGAAGAGGTACAGGAAAGCGACAGTCAAGGGACCCCAGGCAAAAAAGGCAAAGCCCCATGTCATGCCCAGCAGGAAGGTCAGGCTGACCACACTACGGAGGTTCCTCAGGATCTCTTCCTTCAGGCTCCGATTAGTTCTTTTCCCATTCCTCCCACAGATTTGCACCATCACCACAATAAACATGGCAATATTCATTAGAAACATGATTCCAAAGTAGCCAGCACAAGTCACATAGAAGACAATTTCATTCTTGATCCAGCAGCTGTAAAAAAAATACCAAAAAATGATCATTTTTGGTTAATGCAAACTATCCTCCAATTATTCACATGACTACAAGGAAAGTCAGTCTATTTCTGATTCCATCTGATGCAGAGCTATGCTTGAAAATGAAACCTTTGTCCATTTTCTGTTTGGAAATAAAATGAAGCCCAGAGGCGTCTTAAGTGACTGTGGCTCAGAGTACTATCACCTTGGAAACCTGAGGATTGTACCACAATTTAGTCAAAACCAATTACAAATGAAATCCAACCTCAGAGCTTGTATCCTCAGACATCCTTTTGAGGTAGCCATTTGACAGACAGCCATGTGAGATATCTAGCTTATTCCTCTAGCAGCAAATGGCCTGAATGTTTAGCATGATACTATGACAAAAATACAAAATTACATTTTTATTTAACACGACGAAGTTTTGCTAGGCAAGGAACAGAGTACTCATATAAAAATTTTGGCATCTGGAGATTATTAGCCGGACATCAAGAGAAGAACACAAAAGACTATCGAACTACATTGGCAAAAGGCTGGCTTACTCAAAAAGGAAACTATTTTTATACTACTTTGTTCTTAGCTAGAAAATAAAGCTTTCATTTAAGATATACCAACATTTATTTTATTTATTTTATTTTCCTGACTAAACCTGTAAATTATTCTTTTGCCAGAGGAGTGTTTGTATCCCGGCATTGGGTAATACAGATTTCTCTCCAGTTTTTCTTACAGCCTTCTTCACACTTCAGATTCAAATAATTTAAGACAATTTTGTCCATTTTGTTTGTTTAATGCATCTCTGACTTTTCCAAAGTAATCTATCTGATTTTTTTTTTTATAGACTATAAATGCTAAATTTTAAGAGATCAAAAGAAATACTCACAAGTCATCTCCTCCTTGCCCGTTAACATCTCTGCCATATACCTCCTTGCCATAAACATGACTTGCACTTGTATTAGCACTTGCTAAAACGATTGCTATCACCAGAGCTGGCAAACCTGTAACACAAGAAAACTTGGGAGCTTTCAAATTTCCTAAACCTTAAAATTCACCATGATAAGCTGAATTATTGATGTCTCCATCCCTATTGCTTCAGTACAGAGTATCCTGAGAAAACTGCAGTGAGAAAGCAGAAGAAAATTTTTCAAACAGTGCAAATATAAAGAACTTTCAAAGCACTTAATAGGCATTAATGAATATCCCTCATAACCTTCTGTAAGGCAAAAACCATTATTTTAGTATGTGATATGGAGACTAAAAGAAAATACTCTCCCTTAATTACCCAAAGTTAAATTTGCAACTTCACATAGGCTCTCTAGTGAGAAGATTAACAGAATATTTTAAAAAATGAGATCTAATGGAGGGATGTTACTGGGATTTTTTTCAGAGATGCTAATGGGAATTCATTAGGTTGAGTAACTGGAGAACATGAACTTAAATCTGTAATTTCTCCACTGCTTTTATCAACTGCAAGCCCCTCCACCCTAAACAACAAAATATGTATTTCTTAATAATAACATAAAGGGAGGATTTTGGAAAAACAGACAGCTATGCAGAAAAGAACTCTGTGCAGAAAGGTACAGCTTACGCAAGAGAAATGTATGTTTCCTGGTATGCCTTATTTGCATGTCTTACCCTTGCTACAACAGAACAGATTCAAAGGGGAAGAGGTTAATTTGCTTTTCCGACCACTCAGTCCTTGTCCTCTGCTAAGGTTGCCAAAGAGGATGCTAGTTGCCGATGGAAAGACATCAATTATCAGCTGTACTGAGGTCAGTGCTCTAGCCGTAAGGTTAATGGTTTTGTATTGTGTTGTATTATTTCAAACACAATATGTGCATTCAGGGAGAAGGCACAGATTCCTGATATAGACAAAAATGAAGAATAAAAGCCTTGCTGCCTGAGCCTTGCAGTTATTTTTCAGTATTACATTTTCCATTTCAGACCTGCTTTGTACATTGCTTAGGGCAGCCAGGATCTCCCTGTGGTTTAAACACTGTACTGAAGCTCAGAAAATTTCGGTTGTCTCTGATTCTGCCATACGCTTTGTATTTGTTGGCAAGAAAATTTAAGCTGGACTTAAAGTTTATGAAAATCAATGCAAAGATTCCCATAGGCTTTGCAGCACTCATTTTGTGCCATGGTTCTTCATCTCTGATAGGACACTCTTGTTTCCCCTCTCCCATTCTGGCCTCTGGAGAGCAAGACCAGTTTATCCGGTCCCTCCGCTCATCCAAGGGCAGGGAGCTGCCCTGGGTGGAGGGTGCCAGTTATAGTGTATTTACACAGAATTATACAGGGGAACTCAGTGACAGAGAGGGTTGGCTGCGTGCCGGCACTGCTGCAGGCCGGGGGGGAAGGAAACACCATGTTGATATTAATTTTGCTCTGCGCTTCTGACAGAGAGCTTTTATATAGCAGCATTTATAGAGAGCATTTTATATAGCAGCATACATGCTATTTAAATATTGCATCTTCAGAACTCACCCCAGCCGATGATGCAAAACTTGAGTATGTATCGCCGTATATACGTGTTGAACACCTTCACTAGAGCAATGTACATATGAACAGCTTCTAATCCCATCCATGTAAAGGTGGCCAGAAGAAAAAAGTGCAGAAGTGCAGCTACAGCTATGCAGAGGCCATCGATATCAAATGATGCAATCCAGCCATCAAGCAAAAAAATCAGGTTAAGAAAGAGCAGGGCTGTGCTCAAATTCATCAGGATTTTGGATGGGTAATCTCTTCGCAGCTTCCTAATGACAGAAATACAGGTGCATATGGTTAACTTTCAGCAGCTGGGTTTACCAGTACACAAAGTAAATAGAAGTACAGGGATCTCCTCTGAGCTGTGAGTGTTTGTGCTGTAAGACATAGTGATGAGTGCTTCTGTGTAAAACTGCTGAAGGCTTCTGCTGTGTGTAGTGGGGGTAAGCTACCAGGCTCTTTGGGTCCTTAATGAGCTAATCCACTGCCACAATATTTTAGCCACTGATTTTTTCTTTTAAAAAACCCTTTCAAATGAAATATAAAACAGTACTTTGTATTTTATATGAAAACTGAAGAAACTGAAAACAGAAAGATACAGCTGACCAGAAGGTCATCTGTAATGATTGTATATGTAAGTCTTCACCTAATTTTTGGAATATATTGTCCAGTGCATGTTGTTTTCTGTTTGTTCGTTTGGCTTTTTTGAATAGGATCTTAGGAAGACTTTTTTTATAACTGAGACACATTGAAATGTAGGAAATGTGGGGCAGCCAAAAACTTCTGCCCTCTTGGACCAGAACACTATGCCATAGGTAATTTAATAGGAATGCAATCACTGAAGACATTTAAAACTTGAAAAACCCCCACCTCTCCCCTCACCCCAGCAAACTATCATTCTTTAGCAGCTACTATGTCCTATCCTGTTACAGGTAGAATGGTTTCTTTGTGCTGACGTGACTTCATTTTCTCTTTTCACTGTCCTCAGAACTGTATCACTTCAAAACTTTTGCCTTCTCTTGAGTCACTTTCACATTGAAGTAGAACTGCTGTTGAAATTGTGGTACTGCTTCACAATTTATCTTCATTTTATCTCTCTTCCCACTTTTTTCTGAAGGGCTCTTGAATGTAATTGTCTTAGCTGGAAATTTATTTTTTTATACCTGGGTCTTGATATGGTCACGTAAGCAAGTTTTGGTTTATTTTTTTATAAAAAGCCCGTTTGAGAATTTTAAAATAATACATACCTGTTCAGAATCTAGAGGATTCTGTATTCCCAAAAAAGCAAAATTTTGACACACATTCACCTTATTCCCAGGCCTCAGTGGCACAACACATTAGAAACTGGAGGAAAGACTCTGAATTTATGTTCCCTTGAAAAAAATTTTCACTTTACAGTAATGTGATTGTGATTTTACAGGTTTGGGGTTTTTTTAAACATAGATTTCCCTTCTTGGACAAATAAACCAAACTATCCATATAACTAATTTGTCTTACTCAGCACATACAGGTAATCCCTTTGTGATGTTTTTCATGGAATTACTACTTACTCAAATGCAATGTATGTAAGAAGAGTTGCAGCTGAAAATATAGCAGATATTCCACAGCCTATGTAAGTGATAAAGGTCAAGACCTTGTTATTCTGTGAATCTATTTGTGTCACGGTTCTCTGAAGGTCCTATGTGAGAGAGAAGGAAGAGATATCAGTTATAGCCAACACCTCTTCTATGAGCACAACACTCTTTGTTGGTAATTAGACAAGTAAAACTCAAAAGCACTTTGGCAATGCCACTATAACCTTGACACTGGGGTTCATTTTTACTGAGTGTACTTAGTCTATAGTTGTTACACCTCTCACTTCCTTCCCATAGCTCTCCAAAACATTGTGCTTTAAGTATTATCACTGCTGGGAACAGCAGATAGTCAGAGCCTGATTCTGATCCTTATAATTCAGTACCAGGAATTCAAATGTCCTTCACTGGAAAAGCCTCAAGTTTTTAAACTTCTTAGTTTTGTTGCTTATATACAACTCTCTTTCAGAAGATGTAAGATTTAGGAAAATGTAATTTAAAAGTATTCATACTGAAATGTTCAGCATTCTTGAGAGTTTTGACATTACTTTTTGTTATTAAAAGTTCATAAGAGTTAATGTAGCTAATCATCTGCAGATGAAACCAAGGGCAAGATATTGTTTTTTTGGTTTTATGGTCCGCTTTGACTTAAAAGCTACAATTATAATAGAATTGGTGAGAAAAGTAGTGACAAAGAAGACAAAAAAAGAGATTTAGAAATGAAGCAGAAAATTCTGAGGATTTTTTCCCCGTTTTCTGTCTAACTGTAACTGCTACATAGTACCATCTGAGAATAAATGCCAGTGTTATTTCCTTTATTTAAGGACAAAAAAATATAAGAATGTTTGGATCTGTATCACTGTGGAGAAAATGCAAGCAAGTGCTAAAAGAAAATGATGTTCATTCTACAGTCAGTGTCACTGCTGTCCCTAGGAAAACTATCCAGCAAAAACAAACAAAATGCTACAAAACTTCGCATGCTTTGCAGGAAAAGGCAGGAGCAGCTTTTTTTACAGCCTGTCCCCACCTTATATGATAGTTTGTATACACATAAGGAGAGTGTTATTTGAAAATATTTAAATAGCTAAATTAAAGCCAGAAGCAATTATTAAAATGTAAAAGCAATTTGAAGGGTCAAAACTGTGTAAAAATCTATTGGAATGCAGCCCGAATTCAAAGGTCTTCTTCCCTATTCCCTACTGCCACCAAAACATTCAGGGAAGAGAAGGGACTCATTGAATATATCCTAAAGAAAGCCTTTTCTTTCTCCCTTTGAGGATGAAAAGTGTAACAAGACCACAGTTTAGCTTGCAAGAAGACACAAAGTTAGTGGCTTTTTCATATCTACAACTCAGCATGATGTGAAGAGAGCGGTCCTATTAAGAAGGGTCTCAGAGGCCAAAGCTGAGAAAGTCAGCATATGTGGCTCTCTTGTGGGGTTAAAGTCCTAAGTAACTAACTGCCACAAGTTACTTCAAAACCCAAATACTTCCACTTAGGAGCACTGCTGTGACCAGGAGCCACTATCTTCTCTGCAGCTATGTTTTAGAGGCCAAAGAATGTTAATTTCAGCTGGAAAGAAATGTTTCAGCCCATTTCTGAGCATAAACAACCACCAAATGCTAAGAAAAGATAGCAGTACTCCATTTTTTCATGTTGGGAATTTTTTCCCTGAAAAACGCTTCACAAGTGCAAATTGTTGGACACAGCTGAAGGCTAGAGGCTGAAGTGCACTCTGTGGTTCCCTCTTTCACCTCCCCATTAGGCATTGCTCTACCTTCCTCAGCCACCCTGTCTGGAAACTTTGCTTAAGGCTCTGACAGAGAATGAGCTACAAGTTTGTACCAGCCCGCTGTTGACAGACTTTCCCAGAGCCTGTAATGTAAGGCATCCCCAAAGTTGATTAAAGCCAAGTAAGAAAAGAGCCAGTACATGTTTACACATGGTGCAAAAGAAGGTACTGCTTTATACTTTTTGACATTAGATGAATCTTGTCAGATTTGCAGCCTATATTTGAGAGGGACAAATTAGCCTCTCTATCTAAGGATGAAAGGGAATTATTGTGATCCCTTGACTTTTGATCCTCATTAGCAGTTTTACTGACTGTAGGATATTTTTCTTTCCCCATTTTTCCTGACATATGTGTCTCTCTTCCTTTTGTTCTGAAAATAGGACTTCCAAATTTTTCTCATGATTTTTTTCTGTAAAAAACTTCCCACTTTTCCAATCTGAAAATTTCATATATACTATACTTGTTTCTCATTCACTTCCCTCTTGTTACACCCTCAGCTGCAGATCAGTTTTGACAGATTATACTGTTAAGGGATGTGTTGAGGATCCCCAGCACTTCAGGATCATTAAGATCAATTTTTTTCTGTTTCTCTGTGGAAGTGTTAGTACTGGTATTTTGGTATTGCTCAGAAGCCTCAAACCCATGTCTTTTGTGGCACAGTATTTTCAAAATGTAGAATGTAACTATTTTAAAAAAGTAGTACTTAGGCACTTGCAAAGAATGTAATAATGATAATAATAACAAAAATAATATTCTTTCATTACTAACTTTATTAATTATCTCATTCCTGAATCCTTATCGCTAGCTACGTTGAAAAGATAACTTTATGTCAATTAGGGGGGAAATTATTTATTATTATTATTATTATTAAAAGCCATATGCAAAAGAAATAACCCAAGTAACAAAATTGAGACTTGTCTTGACACAAGAGAAAAACTGTGCTGCTGTTCCTAGGAAAGGTAACTTGGTGAGCAGTGAGTTTGCCTACCATTAGGACCCCAAAGTGTGTGAGGTGGTTGCATAAGCACACTGTTTTGTTTTCATCGGACTCTGCATCCACGTGGCAGCCTTCAGGGTTCCAGCCACCACTGCCATCTGTGGAAATGAAACATGAGAAACTGCTGTCCAACAAACACGTGTCAACCTCTCCTTTAACAGATTTCTCACTTCACCTTGAGCAAATGCAAACGCTTTCTCAAACTGAATAAGCGAGCATTAAAACCAGCCAGGAGAGAAGCAAGTAACAGATTCCCTAGTTTCTGCAGAGAATCACAGCAGGTGAGTGTCCCAATAATGGACTACTGAGCAGAAGCAATAGATAGAGATCTATAGTAAAAGTAGGGAGCTTTTTGGTTAGCGATTAAGACCTACTATGTGGATCACGCATTAAGACACACCTTAGTTTTACCCAATAATAAGATAGTTTTAGAACTCCCTTTTACACCACTGATGTGATGTCTGCACCTGCCTACCTCCCATTCATATATCCTCATTTATGGCCCAGGAGCAGAGAGGATCCCTCCCTTTCTCCCTGCAGCATGTAATGCAAAAGGACAGAGAGGACAATCCCAAAGATCCCTTGTGGCCTTATGAAAAAACACAGAGTAAACTATTCCCTACTCACCCCACCTGAAAAGGCCATTCTGAAAAATAAGTAGAAATATTTTCTTTTCAAACATTAAATATTAAAAAGTAAAATCTGTTTTCTTTGTTTTACCCCTGCTAAAACATGAACTAATATTGTGAAATAGTTCATACTGTCTGACTTTTTAAGACATTTTTTCATAACTCCTGACAAAATCCAGCATCATTTGCTCTGTAATTTCGAGACAGTCAAATGCTTAAATTCAAGACAATCTCTCAAAAGACTGTGAAGATGTTCCAAAACCACTCAAAGCTCTTCCCCACTTAAGCAGCCACTGGGAATAGTTTCTTCCCTGTGTGTTTCTCCTTTATTATGCTTCTTAAGTTCAGCTTCATAGCTAGGTTCTGTGATTTTGTGCTCTTTTTTTATCCTCCTGCATTCTCCTCAGTTGCTCTGAGTATTTCCTGCTTTGAAGTACAAACTTGAATAGCAAATTTTATTCCTTTCAAGACTCTCTGTATTAAACCTCTCCATCCAAAATCCTACTGCTCTATCTGTTTCATTGCTAAGAAGAGTAACATCTCAGTAGTGATCTCTAAAATAGAAGGATATGGAAAGTCATCCTAGAGACCAAATGAGCAGTTAAAAGTATGGCTAAGAACCACTGTGGTGTCTGAGAAGCATTATAATTCAATTTGCACATACAGACAGATCAGCGAAAAACTGCAAGCAGATATGGAAAAGTAGAGAAACTTAACTGAAAAATTTAAAATGTTAGAAACATTTACATTAAAAACAAACTTTGAAAAGGAGTATATAACATCTACTGTTACAAGTAACTATACAAACCAGAAGAAATTATATGCTTCATTGAATGGACTTAATTGAATTCTTTAAGGATTAATTAGGAGGAAAAATGGCGAATACTGGGTTTGATTTTAAAACTCAAAACAACTTTATTCCCTACATGAAAGAAATTACAGTATTTTTAAACTTACCATTTTTGTCCATATCCCAGAAGACACAGGTAGGTTTAGGATCTTCCTAAGAAGAGATGCAAAAGTAGACTTTGTATACCTCTTCCAGGCATAAATCTCATCAACATTTACAACAGCTGTTGTAATGTGTATTTCATTTACTGAGCAAAATAATCCATATCATTTAGATTGTTGAAAATTTGTCTAGTGTCAAATTAGAATTTCTTCTGCTAGAAAGAGAGATTTGCCCAGATTTTAAAATCTAGAGCACTGCTTCTCTGCACTGTTCCAATGCTCCTTTTCCACATCCTTAGAACAATGAAGTTTTATTGTCTCAGTGAAGTTATCTTTGGCTATGTCTTTATAGAATCTAAATACTTTTCACTGTTCACTTTCTTAGGGCTTCTCTGTGAATCTTTTATGTATGTCCTTGACAATATGCAAATGGAGGCTGAACCCAAGTGGAGGTTCTTTTGCCTCACCTTAAAATATTCATCATAAAGAAATGCAAGAGAAAGTTAACAGAACTGTGAAAGTAACAAACCAGGTCCTTTCATAAGAAATTTACTTTGGTATTACATTTTAACATTTTCTTTTTTACCATCTCTAGTGCTATTGCCTCTTTTGGATTAGATAATGACAACATGTCTGAGAACAGAGTCAAGCTCACCCATTTTTTAACTGAAACAATATGTGCCAAAACGTTGCATTTGGTCTCTATTTCCCTAAATTTGCTGTAGTCATCTTTTAACATGTTCTATCCATTCCTTCTTTGCTGAAAACCACATAACAACAAAATAATTTGGGGAAGTATAAAAAAAAATTAATATTTGATCAAAGAATTTAAGTAATTCTAAAGTTGCAGTGTAATAAATCATGTCCCTGGTCAAAACTATGGTCAAGAACAGAGGTTTTGCTTAGTTGTTGGCACAGAAATTGCTTCTGAGGGACAGAATGAACAGTTTTTCAGGTAATTCTTAGACCATGAATGGAGTGCGAATGCATGAGGATGGGAGAGGTTACTTGTTTTTACTTTTTGCTTATGTGCTTTTGTTCTAGAGTTTTTAATTTTCATTTATGTTCTTACTCAAAATCCATCTCAATAAACCAGGCTTTATGCTTAGCCTTTACTATATATATATACACTCTGCATTCCTGTTCCTCTGAATAATCAGTCTTGTTTTACCTGAATTTTGGTATGCTTGATTGTAATCTTCACATAATCCTGAAGATCCTGAATGGTTAAGTTTCCAATACTGCATGCCACCACAAAACTGGTTAAATTGGCGGGATTTTCTGCATCCTTTGAAAGATTAAGAAAAATATAATAAATGCTTACCCAGCACATAACATAAAAGCCAGAGTACATAGTTTCATTTTTGCAGCGTGCCAGAATAAGTAAGTTGTCAGCATTTCTGTACTTTTGATTATGCAATATGAGAACATTATGTTTATAAAATCAAATTATGGGTTAGCTTCATGGAAGTTTCCCTATTTTCCTTATAGTCATAAACATACGTAGGCACAATTATAGAGAGAGGTTAGAAGTCAAACAAAGTTATAACTCAAACAATGTAGCAGATAACAACTCATGATATGATTAGCTCATTTCCCTAAACAAAAATGAACTAGCTCTCTTATTGTCAACACTATCCTTTTGAGTAGATGAAAAGTTTTTAGAGAATAATCTGGTTTCTGTTTATATTTGCTAAATCATCCTCCATCTTAAAATGAATGACTAAGAAAAAGTAAACGAATTCAGAGCAATGTTACATATCGAAGGAGGTAGCATTTTCTGCAAGTAGTACTTACATACTGAAGGAGGTAGCATTTTCTTTTCCATTGACTTAGCTTTGAAGGCAACTTATGGACAACAGTTCAGGCATTGATGTGTACATAGAACACACCTGTCTTTGGTGAAATGAATCCCACCCTGAATAGTTTTTATATAGTCTTCTAAGTAATATAACCATCAGATTTTAACAAAATGATAAGATAAAAGTTTCTGAATTCTCTCAATTGCAATAAAAAAGCCCTCCAGTACTGTAAAGTGCAATGTTTCACTGTTACATTGACTACTTATAAGGAATACAGCTAAGAGCATTTGGGTTTTTTTAAGTGCAATAGAAATAAATGTATCTATGGAAAACTTTTATTCTAATGAATAAATTTACTGGGTTTTAGATGGCATTTGGATTAATTTATTTGTAGACCTTATTTTAACCCCCATTTTTTTAACTTCCTTTATTTTTAGACTTACTAAAAATGTGAGGATTACACATTTTTAATTGTGTTGATTGTACCACCCATGAATAGTTTGAAAAACACCCAAGAAATGAGAGGTATTTTAGTTGCAAACTCATATGCAATTTTTCCTGGTTTTTTGCTTTTCAATGGCTTATTAAGTATCATTTAGAAACACATTCTAAAACTACTAAGGACACATGTTAATTTTATATGATTTTATGCCACAGTGGCAAGACTCCATCTGTATTCTTCTGGGTTTTTTTATTAAAGATATCTATCCTGTTTTTCTCAAAAGCAGGCCTAAAATGAATACATTTTAAAATAGTTAGAGATACTTTGGGGTGTACTTCAGCAGGCAACTGTGGGTCATGGGTATTTTCTTGCCTAGATTATCTGATGAATCTGGATACACTGCCAATAAAAACGATAATATAGAGACAATACAATACTACAGAGTTCTGCGGATGTACAAGAGCCAAAGGTCACTTAAAATGCTGATGGGAAAACAAACTCAAGTCTTCTGAGACACATTCTGCAGTTCACCATGAAAAAATGTTTCCTTCTTAATTAACTTTTTTGTTTTTTCAAAATAGATATGGTTTCAATTTTCTGGTTTTCAAGTTGCAAACTCTTCCTACTTTGTCACCTATCATGCAGGAACTATTTACAATTACTATTTGATAGGATCCAAAAAAGAAAAAATCAAATCTACCTGAGTACCTTTAGCTTTCAGGGGCAAGTATTGTTATCCTTATTCCCTATTAAAATATGGTGAGTTTATGAGAACACAGGTATGTAAAGAATAGCATACATTGAAACAAAAGTTTTCTGGCTACCGATCATCAGCCCAGAGTTCCCAACTGAATATAAAGTAGTCATCTGGATATGATAACTAACCAACTCTTATAAGGAAAAGTAAGTACCTGCAGTGTTACAGGCCAAATTCCCTTTGATGGAAAAGAACCTGGCTCCACTGAACATCAAGGACTTGTATTAATGCATTTAAACACAAGTTATGCCCTTTAAGAGGACATGCTACTTTCCACAGATTACCCTGTTTTCCACAGGTAATCTGTTTTCCACAGATTACCCTGAGAAAAGGTTTATCTTACATTTGTCAGGAATTTGCAGTCAAATCACAGACTTTAACCTATCTTAGGCACTGCAACTATACTGTCACTGAACATGACTGTCTTTAATGCTTACATTTGGTATCATCTTTTAATTCCTGTAACTCACACAATGCTGTGAAATGATTATACTACAGGAAACTTTTAGCAGCTGGCTTTGACTCACCCTATCTGAAATTACTTCAAACACATTAATGTTTACCTGAAAAAGGCCATTTTTATTGAAGAAAGTAAACTGAGCCCTGGATATAACTTCAAATTCATCTTGACTTAAATTCTTCAGTAAACTTGGTGGCAGAACAACAGAAGCAAAGGCACTTGTCTGATCCTTGTCAAAATCTATCTGTTAAATAAAACAAGAGAAGAACATGTTCAAACAAAAACCAAACCATCTGTTGTCCACAACTGACTTCACACCCTTACACAGAGATATCTAAACATGGGTCTAGAATCAATCAACCCTAATATGACCTGTATCTATGTAAGAGTTGATACAATAAATAATTTTTTTTTTGTAGGCTTGTGAGGTTTGCCACCTTTCCAGCATGAGATCAGCCTTCTGCTACAAAAATGTATTAGATAAAACCAACAAAGAAACAAACTCCTCCATGGCTATAATGATGAATGGGAAATAATGGATGGCAATAACGGTAGTCATAATCATTTTCAGTAACCTTCAAGATATTTTTTCTCATAGAAAACAATGCTGAGAACTAAAAAATACACTCTGAATCCTTCTTTCTTAAGTTTTATTAGCTGGCTTGATCCACATATTTGAATTTTCTTATGAGCTTTTACAGTTTCTCTACTACAAAAAGGAGCTCTTAAAATAATTATTAGTGTCACCCATCCATATAGCACAAAAAAGACACTTTCTGCCATCAATGTAAGTTTAATATATACTGGCAATGTGTCATCCATCTAAAAGCCCACTGTGGCCCAGGGATGTTACAAGCAAGTAAGAAAATAAATGAGGATGCAACCTTGCATTTTATTAGCAATTCTATGACTGCACACTTTCCCACCATGAAATACTCAAGGTGTGCCACCGTAGCCATCAAAGGAAGTGGAACAAGCCATCTCACAATGGCTCTGTAGTAAAAGCATTTAAGAATTTTACTGTGAGACATGGAAATTCACACTCCTAACTTCCCCAGAGGCATCCTGGTCATATATTTATGCCTCTCACGATCAGATGTTTGATTCTAAAAGCACCATTAGCTAATAGAAAGTTAAAAGTCATAGGTTACTGGCAGATTATTCACTGGTTTACTGTGAATAACAGACACCATGCTAGATCAGTCAGAAGTGGTTCATAGGTATCTCCTGACAGGGCTAGATGTAGCTGCAAAACAGGTTTTCAGAGGGTAATTCTGCTGCACTAAAGTGAGTGTGTGATAAAGATGTCCCAGGCATTGTCTGCAAATAGAGTGGAAGAGACTTCTCTAAAGAAGCATGGATATATTACAGGAACAATTTAATAATATGAATCACCAAAACCTAACTTAGTCAAAGGTTTGGCAAGAAACATAAGACAGGGGACTGAAATAGAATCTTTCCAAATTGCCATGGATAAATTTGCTTGATATCTATTTAAAAAAAAAAAAAATCTGGAAACATTTTGACATACATCTTGAAGAGTTTACTGTTCCCTGATGAGCCTAGGATAGAAGATCACATCACTGGTGAAAAACCTGGGCTTTCACAAGGGAATCCCCCTCCAGGAGGGATAGCAAATATCTTTCCTGAAAGGCATGGAAAATATAAAGGGTGATCACAGCTGCTGAAGATTTTTCTAGTAGGAAGGATGCTAAGGATTCGCAATCAGCTGTTTGAAATGTGAAAGCCTCAGAAGAGGCTCATATTCCAATAGGAACATTATAAATACTTTGACGGAGTTTGGATTTTATGATTATTTAGGCAGTGCTGTAATAAATGATTCCAGGATGAGAAGATTCCTGGATGCTCTCAAGCCACAGATGGTAATTCTTGTTATACAAGCCAACATCCAAAACCTGGTTTTAGAATTTTTCCTTTCCTCTTTCCATAAATAAAAGATTGAATCTGGAAGAGAAATATTCCTTTGAAAACAAAGCTGAAAACAGCTATTGAGGAGCTTCATTAATATGAGAGCTAAACAAAAGTAGATTTACAATCATCAAAAATTTCTGATAAAATTGATTCAAAGAAATTTTAGCTAAAATGTCTATGAATAGAAATACGTGAAAACTCAGTTACATGAAATGTATTTGTATCTATTTAAACCGGCATCTGAGTTTTGATCCTAAGTTTATATACATGTAAAAGACCTGAAGCCTATTATGTTACTAATACTTTTTAAAATTATTCTTAGTCTCTTAGATCTTTAAAGATTATTCTTTAACTGTTTGCATAATGACATGTTTTGCTGAATTCAGTTTTGGTTCCTCTGGCCCAAATGACAGTAGATTTTCTTCTTTTTCTGTGTAATATTTTCTGTGTGTTTCTCCAAGTAAGGCTCACTGTACTTGAATGGTTAAACACCCAGGGAACTGAGATTACATTTTCACAGACTTCTTATTTAACTGCAAAAAACCCCCAAAACATTGTCCTGCACTTTTGAAAGCATTCAGGTGCCATAAGGTGTGGTTAGGCATATAGTGAAATTTAAAGTCCTAGCATCTCATCACTACAGATTTACAAAGAACCTTTGGAAAATCCTTTAGGTGCTCATGTGCATCTCAAATTCTATTTCAAACTTTCAGATGTCTGATTTTTTGTATTTGGGAGTGGGTAGAGGGGTAAGAGAAAAATATTTTTGAGGTGACAATAAATATCTTAACTATCCTAGCCTGTCTAGATACTGTAGCACTGGAGACCTTCTTGCATTTTGAGTGATCTCTGTTTCTTTTGTTTTTAATGTCTAGGCTGGCCAAGCTCCACATGAGTGACTTGAACCACCTCAGACATTTCTAAATGGTACAAGCCCATCAACCTATGTGTGGACAACAGGGTCAGTCATACGACTCCTCTAGCAGTAAGTGTTAAAACTATACTGGGAGATTGAAGACCTATTGTATCTGAAGAAATCTGTATGTAGATAACTACATCTAGGAGTCTTATTCTAAAGCTGAAAGGCATCAATGGAATTGTTAGCTAGTGTACAAGGGATAATACAACAGACTGTTGAAGATTATTTTCCTTTTTCAAGAGTAAAAAACCCACAAAACTAAAAAAAGGGTCAAGTTGTTCTGGATTTATAAGCAAATTATTTTTTATCTGCATGGAATGTGAGTTTATCTCTGTTTCCTGTCATTCAAGGAAATACTACATTAATCTCTTTGGGTGATTGCAGGAAAAAGGAAATAGAAAGTAGGGGGAGAATTGGGAGTTGTAACTGTTTTTATAGGAACCACACTAAACACACTTGGAACAACAGGCACATTTCACATTCAAATACAACTACTTGTTCTGTACCTGGAAATCAGATGCATTATTCTGTGGACTGACACAGAAAGAACCACCTTTGAATGAAGTTGAGTTTATAGCAGACACTCCAAGTGCGAGATTTCGTGTTGAAATACTCATGGATGGTCCAGTGAAATGGATCTTTAAAGCCAAGGCATCAATAGTTTTTAGAGCCCTAAAAACAGAAGTTAAATTATTCTAAAACAAAAGCTTTTGACTGACAGAAACTGACTATATATCACTGGTCCTGAAACAATTTTTCAACAATACTTATATCTATGCTGTGTCATGTATCAGAAGACTTCTTTTTTTCCATCCAAATACTTTGTCTTAGTTAGGCACATTAATTTTAGTACAAGAAGAAATATTTGTGTATCTAATTTGGAAAATTCTTTTTGATGAAAATCAGAAAAGTTTGATTTTTGTGCCACAGTTGTTTGCGTGTTTGTGGAAGGCCTTACAGCCTTGCAGGTTGCTCTCAAAAGCTTGTCTCAAATGAAGAAATACTTACTCTGAAGATGAGGCTGCCAATACACTATCTGAACTGGTTAGAATATTGGAAAAAATAGTCACCACAGTAGAACCCAAAGATTCATCAATTTCTTCATCATTAACAATTTTTTTTAGCTTCTGCACAACGTCATTTACTTTGTCTGAGGTTAGCTGCTGCCCTTCACCAGTGAGATTCAGAAGCTGATTGGCTATATCAGCTGCATTTTCTGTAAACACACGATCAAGTAAAAAAGAGAAAATAATGCATTACAGTCCTGAAGTAATCTGGAAATACAAACTTTAACTCACATTGTTGAAATCTAGAGAATGTTCCGTGGTACTAGAGATGAACATAGGATTTTATCGTTTTGTCAAATTTATAGTTTTATAAAAAAAGTATATAGAACCTGCTGATTATATACTCTCCTCACTTGTAGAGTTTTTATTTTATTTTGATTTGAGTGTGTAAATCAGAACTATTATTGAAACAGTTGATTGAAACAAAAAGTAAGGAACAAAAAGTCTTTTTTGCAATGGGAAAACAATTTCACTCTTTCACTATTACTGAAAGAGTATTCACTCTTTTAAGCTTTGTGAAGAAAGTCTGACCCCACTGCAAATGTTTCAGTTCTTTCAGAGGATGGTTCTCTTACTCATCAGAGGGCTGGCAAGTATGACACACAAGAAATTTCATGAGAAGTTTCCTCCCGGTAAGGAAAGTTTTATGGTGTGTCCAATAGCAAAACATTAGTGTAAATCACATGCTAAACTGTAATTTCAATGCCACCTGGACAAAAACTAATGTGATTGCTAACCTTTTACAATATCAAACTATTTGAGATTTATTGGAATTCACAAATAAGATTTTGAAACATCAGCCTCCTTCAACCTGCAGCTGGCTGTGGGGTTTTAATGCTGTTTTTTAATAATACAGCTCTTGGTACATTTACTTTAGAATGTTCATTTTACGTGACATGATGCTCTCACATAGGCTGACTGCAAGTACTCAGTCAACTACGTTATGAAGCCAGGCTCCCTATGACACCTCTATCAATGAAAAAAGAAAAAGAAGTTTCTCCAAGAAAGCAGTTCAGAACAGGAGCATCCTTGTAGGTGCTCTGAAACACACACAAGAGTATAATTCTCTTCACTAGTTCTGACACTATAAAAAGAGGCCATAAAATTGTTGTCTTGTTATTTTATTACTCTTTTATGGCCAGAGTGACATCAAGGGGTATTTTACAAACTGAGAATAAATCTGAAAACATCTGATCGTAAGTCCAGTGAAGAGAGTGAGTGTATTTCCCCTGGCAGCTACAGGTATTGGAAACATTTAAAAATTTGTCCTAACTTGAATATCAAAAGATACCACATTCATCTACTCTTGCTTAAATTACCAGATGAGTTTGATTTATTTCAGTAGTTCATACTCAGAGCTTTTAATAGGTGAGGTGATTGAACCTGGTGCCCTACCTCAGAGTTTAATTATTTACTTGATTAGTTAGAAAGATTTTTAAACAACTTAGCATAAAGAAGAAATATATTCTTCCTTAATGTAACTTCCTTATAGGAAGCAGTAATCAAAGTCTACCATACTATTCCTTTAGCTGAAGACCAACATCAATTATACCCACCTGTGCAATTTCTAAGATCAGGCTGACCCCAGTATGATGTATAATTCTGCAGACCCAAATAGCTAAAGAGGAAAAATTACAAAATTCACATGAAATATAGTAACAAAATTACATACATATTTCATAATTCTTATGCAGGTGTCACACTCTTCTCAATTCACAACACTGCTAGCAACATGGCCCCTAGTGAAATGCAATATGAATACTTGAGAATGGCAGTATGTGATCAATTAAGTGACAGCGCTAAGAGAAAGCCTAGTTCTTGTGGACAAATTGCCAGCTGATTCCTATACTGATTTGACAAACTGCTTCAATGGAAATTCTGGTCTTTTATTTCAGGAAATACCCAAATTTTAACACAAACTATTATGCCCCTGTTATGGCCACTCAGGTGCTGTTTCTATAATTTATCCTTGATGTAAATGGCTTTGATCAAGTCAACTGCAAGCCACAATACCTCTCAGAAGAACATGCAGAGGAGTTAAGTGAAGATATAAATTATGCCATCCATGAAAACTAGGGCAAGTCAATTTCAGATCTAGATCCAAAGTAAGGGGTAGATATAAAGATGCCTTTTTTTTTTTTTTTCCCCAAGCCTTACCATAGCGAAATAACAGAATCACAGAATAGGTGAGGTTGGAAGGGACCACAACAGATCATATGCTCCAGGAACCTCCCTGCTCAAGCAGGGTCATCCTGGAGCACATGGCACAGAATTACATCCAGACAGTTCTTGAATATCTCCAGGGAGGGAGACTGCACAACCTTTCTGGGCAATCTGTTCCAATACTTGGTCGCCCTCACAGTAGGGAGGTTCTCCCTCATACTCAGGTGGAATTTCCTGTGCATCAGTTTCTGTTTGTTCCCTCTTGTCCTATTGCTTGGCACCACCAAGAAGAGCCTAGCTCCATCATCTTGACACCCTCCCTTGAGATACTTAGAGACACTGATGAGGTCCCCTTTCAGTCGCCTCTTCTTGAGGCTGAAAAGGCCCAGCTCCCTCAGCCTTTCGTAGTAACAGAGATGTACCAGTCCCTTAATCATCTTTGTCACTATGTAACAATGGCTTAAAAATTAAACACACTTTTTCTTCAGTTTTCTTTAAAGACAATCATGTTATAGAATGGCAAAGGCAGGATGGTGAATGGGAAAAACTTATTCTTTCACTCAGCACATGATAAAATAACATTATTCTTCAGCTGATCACATTTATTATAACAGCACACTAGCAGGTAACCTTCTACTCTAGGATGCACAGGACTAGAAGAAACTGTTAGAAGAGCTTCCTCTTCTTTTGAAACACATCCCACCAGTGCTCCATATTGGTAAAAGCTAGTGGAGTCAGAGGGAAGGAAAGCACAGCACAGGGCAGAACACAGTAATTTTTTTTAGGAGAAGTGTGGTACACAATCAATCAATGGTATTGTGTAGACCACAAATCAACAATAAAGATAAGCAATACTGGGACTGCAAAGGCCAGAAACCTTAATTTTTAATGATTCTGAAGCTCTGACTTAAAAACAATTTGACTTCTGCATTACTCGCTCTACAACAAAAGTTAGTCAATCAGAATTCTTTCTTGTACAAGATTAAGAGGCTGAGGAAGTGAGTTATTTAAATATAATGCAGGTTGCTTTCCTGTTTGGAACAGAACCTCAAAGCTGATTCATATCCATGTTGCCATGCTGTTTTCAAGAAGTAAGAGATCTGGTCTTCTCAGAACATGTTCCACATGCAATGTGGGTGGATAAGACTCATATATTGCCTTTAATGGTAATCACCCTAAATACTGAGGAAATCAATTAATATTGCATCTTCATAACCATGTTTAAGGCACTCAAAGGAGATCAAAGCCATAGTGTTTTGGTAATACATCAATGGAAGTAATAATATTCCCATTTTACAAATAGTAAATAGAGATACAGAATCAAAGTCCTTTGTAGACGTTTGCAAAGAAAGCCTACATTAGGGAAAATAGTCCTACACCTTAAAAACGCAAGTTCAAATCTTTAAGCATAAGATTATCCCCCCCTTCAGTTATGACTAACTACTGGCAAAATGTTTGTTTCATGATTTCTTTTACTTTTCCTGGATGAGATGAGATGTTCTGGACTAAACCAAATGCCCATCTCAGGTTCATAGATTTTTATTCTATTTCTTACACATGGGAGATCGTAGTAGTGGAGTGGCAGCAAGTGTGAAACTTCGGTTTCAGTAGAATAAATGCCATCACCAAGTGCAAGGTCCTGCATGTGGGTCGGGCAATCTCAAGCACAAATACAGGCTAGGAGGAGAATGGATTGAGGGCAAACTTGAAGAGAAGGATTTGGGGATGTTGGTTGAAGAGAATCTTAATGTGACCTGTCAATATGAGCTTGCAACCTAGAAATCCAACCGTATCCTGGGCTGCATCAAAAGCAGTGTGGCCAATAGGTCAAGGGAGATGATTCTGTCCCTTTGTTCTCATGAGACCTCAACTAAATTACTGCACCCAGCTCTGGGGCCCCTGACATAAGAGGAATGTAGACCTGTTGGAGCAAGTCCAGAGAAGGGCCACAGAGATGATCAAAGGGCTGGAACACCTCTCCTATAAAGACAGGCTGAGAGATTTGGGGTTGTTCTGCCTGGAGAAGAGAAGGCTCTTATAGAAGTCTTCCAACACCTGCAGAGGGCTACAAGAGATCTGCACAGGGACTTTTTTACAAGGGGATGTAGTGACAGGACAATGGTGAATGGTTTCAAACTGAGAGAGATTAGGTTTCAGATATTAGGAAGACATGTTTTACTTTGAGGGTGGTGAGATGCTAGAACATGTTATGCGGAGAGGTTGTGGGTACTCCATCCCTGACAGTATTCATGATCAGGTTGGAAAGGGCTCTGAGTAACTTGGACTAGTGAAAGGTGTCCCTGGCCATGGCAGGGACATTGGAATCAAATGACCTTTAAAGGTCCCTTCCAACCCAAACCATTCTATGATCCTATGACTTGAATAAAGCAGTTTCATTCTGTAAGAAGATGCTATTTTTATAGTCACTTTGAACATGCATTAATTTTGGGCCTCAAAATGCCCTACAGAAGCGTTAGATGAGCCTTTTTTTTTTTTATCAATTAAGTACATACTCTTACTGCATGTACAAAGTCTCTCATAGTATAGAAATCATCTTCCTGAAACACAATACCAGCCAATGGCAACCATTATGGAGAATGCAGATTAACTATATATCCAGAAAGTCGCATCCGAAGCAACTCATCTTCTCAGACATTTGAACACCTACCAGGTTCTTGATGCAGTCTGAACTGTGCTCCCATGGCAAAATGTGAAGTTGGTCACAGTAGGTCTGGTATCTGGCCAAAAATAGTTTGGAGGGTTTTCTTCAGCTAAACATTTTTCTGTAAAAATTAATGTTAATACCATTATTAACAGTAAATTTCTCCACCTAACCATTTTCCATTTCTTGTCCTCAGCGCAGAAACCAGTCTACGGCACAAAACTGTCTTCAAATTAAACTCTTGGTTGTTTGCTTTAAAGTGGTAATAGAAGGATGGGTAACAGGAGATCATATATGCTGCTGCTGCTCAGGGGAAACAGCTGAACACCCATGCTGCATCCATTTGCACTCCAACAGCCTCCACCTCTTCCCTTCCAAAGGAAGAGCAATTTTTGACTGGTAGTGGTTGAATGGAAAAAGATGACAGCTAAAAAGAGATAGGTTAAGGACAGCAGCTGGCAGGAGAACAAACAGCATTGAAAAGTGCGGATGAGGGGCCTTGGAGGTCCAAAAGGGAGGTAATTTTAGCTCTGGTTGTAGAACATACTTCGTCATCCTCAAACTATCAGAGGTCCTGTCAGGAGCTGTCCCAGCCTCTGAATCAGACAGCAAAACACTGACTAAAGCAACCCAGACAACTATGTTCGTGTTAAAATGATATCTTGACCATGGCTCTCTGAGATTAGTGGAACAATGAAGCTTATGGGGACAATTTAAAATCTCAAATAGTCATACTATTTGGAAATGTGCGATTACTTCAACACAGAAGATGCCTATTTATAGACAAGCAAACAAAATTTGTTGTGTAACAAAGCCAAACACTACTTACCCACTGGATCAACATCCACAGTATGAAGTTTATATCCTTCTTCTATAGTTCGATTATTACTTATTAGCTTCTGTCGGATGTCTTCCTCTTCTAAATTGATGTTGTTGGTAGCATTATAAACCAGAAGAGCCAACACACCAAAACTGCAAGGAAAAGTATCCAAGTGTTTGAGTCAGAACAGCAGAGGCCAAATGCGTGGAAATAAAAATATCTGACAAACTCTAGTTTTCTGAGTATAGAACAGTGTCACCATCACAGTGTTACACATTATCTGTAAATTATTTTTATATATAAGGCCACAATAAGAAAATACGGTTGGGAAATTTCATCTTCTGGTTACCATTAAAGAAACATCTCATTAAAAGAGCTAAGAAATGTTTTCAGAGAAGTTAGATTATTTTAAAAGCTATTAAAAGATGAAATCATAGACTTGTGAGTTCTAAATGGGCCCTAATTATTTTAAAAATCTGTTTGCTGATGGCTTAGAAACTTAAGAGCTGATTCATCCTACCTTCAGAGGATCTACCTCTACATTGACTACACAGGAAGACTAGAAAATTAACAAAGAACAGATACCTAACACTTAAATCTCTAGATTCTAATGGAATAAAAAACACACTTCTGAAGCTTTTAGACGTAATTACAAAAGTCAAGTTGCTCAAATGAGTAATTCAAATCTGAGCACTAATAGTTGTTTTGTACTGTGGCCCACTGCTACTTTCTTGGGCATAAGAAGTAGTTCAAAGTGCCCAAGTCTCTTTCCTGTGAGAGAAATAAAACAGTCCCCACCCTTGTCCAAAAACATAGCTTTTCTGGAAGGGAAATCATGAACAGCAAAGCAGTTCTAGTAGGACAAAGAAAATAAACCCACAGTGGAAGGCCCAGAAGTTTCCTCCTGGGACACAAAGAAACATGTTGGAGATGAGAATATGTTGGTACCCAAGAGCATTGCTTGGCTCTGGCTAGTAGGACATGACGCCACTAAAGTATGGAACACTGGATCTCCATGCAAACTAAAATGTGAAAAAAAGGAAAAAGCAAACCTTCTTTAGTCTGTCTTCATCTTAGCCTTGCCCTTGGATACCCATCAGCCTGAATAAAGACAGACCTTTGCAGTGTGTGAGCCATTCCTGGCAACCTGAGAAGCAGCAGCACTGCCAGCACACACACTGTGATCATGGCACAAACTGATCAGAGCTGCCTTCACCTACAGCTCCCAAGTGCAAGAAAGCAACAAGAAAGCTAAAGGATCTTGTGGTCTAAAGAAAGAAGCACAAAAAATCTATAGGAGTGCTGGAGAGGGCTAGTAAGGTTTTCAGGTACTGCTTTCTAGACAGACAAGGACTTCAACTCAAAAAAAATCTTCCAGAAAGACATCCTCATGATGACAGCTCAGAACTGTACTTTCCAGAGGTGCCTTATATAGTACAGTATAAAACTACAGCTTAGTGTACAGATGTTGCTCTAAGATGGTAGATTTAACTCTCTTTCCGTCAGGCATCATTCTGAAAACTGAGCTACTCCAGCCAAGAATTCTGCAGTACTCTCTCATTACTGAAATGGCATTAAAACAACTGGTATTAGAAAATAACCTCAGTCTAGAAAACAACAACAACAACAACAACAACAAAACCACAACAAAAAAGAAAAGCAAATTCCAAACCTCATAAAGAAATTACAAATGTGAACTAAATACTCCACACATTTAACTTTTGTAGATGTAAATAAATAAGTAAATAAATATACACCATCCCTGGTTGTTTGTTTTCTTTTATTGGTTTTGAACGCCAGCACACTTTTCTTTTTTCTTGGCATATTTACTGTTTTACTGGTAATGTTACTGGAGAAGAAAGATAAAAATGTGACGACCTGCCGGCTTGGCTTGCCTTTTTCATAGAGCATGTATTTTAGCAGAGAAATGACAACTATCCCTGGCCAGGTTGCTCCTGCCCTGCTCCCAGATATACTGAGTTCCTCCTAACATTTCTTTCGTCTCTGTGGAGTGTTTAACATATAAATGGCAAATAGCCTCTAGTAGGGTAGATATGCATTAGGAGCCTTTTGCTGTATACCTCGGGTATATTACAAAGCACAAGTTTATTGTGGCATTTATTTTTAGCAGAAGCATGGAAACTGCCTAGAAGACTGCCAATTCCTTCAGCCCTTCAGTACTTCAGCCCAAGTCTCCTGGCACTTAACCATTTTTCCTAAAAGATCCTGGCTTCACTTGTCTATTCCCTTTACTTCAGAAGAGGAAAACTTAATATATTGATGCCACTCCCTACCTCAGCACTCTGGCTGCAAAACAGAAGTTCTGAACAGTCACTGCTACTGTTAAACTGCCTGTTTCAGGACTCCCAACTAACCAAAATGATATTTAGTATCCATAACGGTGCAGAGGGATAATAGTAATAAAATAGAATGTATAATGATAGATGAGGTAGAACTGGTTGCAGTTATCTTGAAAAATTATAGAGGAAAGTATTGATAATGAAGTGCTGATAAAAATAATCTCTTAAACCGATCTGCTACTTGTTTTCTGAGAAAATCTTAGATTGCAAGTCATGTATACTGTATAATAAGAGCCTACTCCATAATATGATGTAAAAAAGTCTATAAATTTCTCAGAATGACTCATGCTAGCTTCCCAAAGTAAATAAATACCTTTTAACTTGACAGCTGACGCAATAAGAAGCTGAGTGCTTCCTTCCACTTTTGTCACACTCAGATCCCAGAAAGAAAACATTTTAATGGTGAAGAACAAATTCTCGATTTGGGAAACAGTAGGTCTACACTCAAATAAATGGCAACACTGCCATGCTCTGCCGGTATCACTGGATTTGCTATTTATTGTGTGCCATATAAAAGCAGATAGATTCTCACAGCAGTAATCAATTATAAATTACACATTATCTACAGTAAGATGTACTTCCAGCATTATAGCTATCGCTATTAAAAAAAATGGACTGTAAAGTATGTAAACACAGTGGGGATAAGTATGTTTCTCTTTTATTTGATTGAAATGGTGACAGCTGGAGCAAGCAGGAAAACAGGGGAAGACCAGTGTTTCTCCCACTTTGTCCTGGTCTGTTGAGCTAAGCTGGCTCAGAGAAAGGAATTTACTAAGCTTCACCCTCATCAGAGGCACAGGAGGCGGTGGTGGAGCCTGCACTGCCATGGCTTGTACCACAAAGCCAGCTTTATTCTCTGGCAGCGTGACTCAGAGCTATTCCAGGACAGTGTGCCTACACACACGCTGTGGTCTCCCTGCTACACGATGTGAGGAGCCTGAAGGAAGGATTAACAAACCATGTGAACCGTGCAGCACAGACTGTCTTGTACCTGAAGAGATGTGGTTGATAATTAGCAATGCACATTTCTCCTTTTCTGTTGTACTAGACAGGCTGAACCAGTCCTGAATTACTGTTGTTGTCAAACTGTTTCACAAGTCACTATTAATTTCTACCACAGTTAATGTTACTTGATTTAAAGAATATAAGGAATAATTTTTAAAGAAGCTAAGTACTCAGGGAATCTAAATTTCCACTCAAAGTCACCAGGAATGTCATTGCTAACTACCTTGGTGTATTTTAAAAAGTTTTCAGATGTCAACATTAAATTCTTTATCAATCTTGCTGTTATGTTGGGAAGACAAGCAACGATGGGTCAAGACTGGCAGCACAGGCAGGCCCACAGAGTCAGCTGTGAACAGTACTACCTTCTTCACATTAACCAGATAGACAAAAAAAGAGCTGACTATTGTTTAAGTCACTCAGTGAAGATGCAACACAAAGAGCAGACAAAATGTTAGAAAACACACAGAATGAGACACAAATAAATAAGAAAGTAGAGGGAAACTAAAAGCATTCCACAAAAGCATCTGAGTTTTGGATAAATTTTTACTTGAGGTGATTTTGACTGCAATACTATTAAAATGTTCAGAATAGAGAGCAAAAAACTATGACTCAGCATAACATAGACATTCAAAGTAATGCCAAGGATAAAGAGTTACCTTTCTCAGGAGAAGGTGATGTTATAGTTAAAATATAAAATCTGAGCTTTCAGGACACAAAACTAAAAATTGAAGCTACTTTTTGCACTATTAAAAATAAAAGTATCCTAGGCCTTCCTTTTTTAGTTAATGACCGTTGTAGCAGAACAGTGTTACAAGCACCCTGGTCATTCATCTGTGCCTGTCCTTGTGTCTCTGGGCCTTGCTGCTCCTTGCAGATCTGGTGTGGGAATACAATCAACTACGGTTTTTCAACAGAAGGCACTTATGATATGTGATAACTTGGTATGAAGGCTATTCATTATTACAGAATGTTGCAAAGAGACAAAATAGAAAGGGCTGGAATCCCTCACATTTAACATCTGGTCTTTGCTGAAATGAGTTTTTGGTTACCCTTGAACTGTGTTCTGAAATGACGTAGAAAACCCCCATTCCCCATTCCTCATTCCCCAATGCACTACTTTCCTAAAAATGTCATCTAACAATGTCAGATCTACATTAAATCTAATTAAAGTGAGTGGAAAGATAAAGGAAGCAACTGGAAGCTGGACCAAGAGCAAGAAGCTTCAGCAAGACATTAAGAAGGGATCATCCTTCAGTCACTTGAAAGGAATTTCCAACCTCCTCTATCTGTGATGAAGGCTTTTTTTACACATCATGGACACAAGATGCCAGCAAGCCACTGTGGAGAAATCTGAGGATTTCTGCTTGGTGCTTTGTTAGTTGGTTCTTCAAACAGAAATATTATATGTAATATATACATTATGTGGCATTTAAAAATGTTTCTCAGCCATGGCAAAGGTTGTCCACTACTGCCTTCAGTAACAATGAATGCATGGAGTAGAGGTGGGCCAGGTCTAAGTTGTTCCTAATACCTCACCAGTAGAAACCAGAACAATTTTTAAAACAGGAGTAGACATCCCAGATATGTTCATTTATAACAAGAACAACATAATTATTTTATAACAAATAATTTGAAGTAATCTACAAAGAATGTAAAAAGCCTAAAACTCACTTAGGACTAGAAAAGCAAAACTGTGCTGCTCTGATGATCCTAACTCCTGCCTAAAACTATTACACAGTCTAATTAACCTAAGTTCTATCCAAGTGCATTAAACTTTACATTAGGAAACACAACACCCAAAAACATGGCATGCAGGATTCTGAATGTGCCTCACTGACACTGGTGTTAAAACTCTCACAAACTTCAAAAAGCAGGACTAGGCCTGGGAAGTTCTGATTTCTTCCTTTCCTCTCTATTTTCATTCCTAAGAGAAAAGATTTCTGTTTAGGTTTATTAGTCTTTGCACCACGGCTACCACTGTGGTTTTTAATTTGGATGAGATGTTTAACAGCACTAACATTAATGTTGTTTCCCATAGCAGAAGCAATTAAGCACTAGAAATAGCCCAAAATTATGACAATCAAGAAGTGGAAGTTGGAAAAAGCATAAACTTACTTGTATGTTAAGTGGAGAAAAGTTTATAAATTAATTGGGGCCTGAATCCTCAAAATTACTTGCAAAATAAAAGAAGAAAGGAGAAGCAGGGGAGCTGAGCTGTTTATTAAAGACCAATTTCCCTATTGTGAGGCAGCACTATATAGTCATCTGACAAAACATAGGATCAAGTAGGGCCCTTCTGGGAAAAGGCTGTGGCAGCAGTCACAGGAAGCTTTGACAAAGCTGCAGAGTCATAAAAGGCAACGAATTAATGAAAGAAGCAAACACATTTATAGTTTAACCACATAAAATCCATAAATTGGTTTCACTTTCAAAGGTTTGTGCAAAAACAATGGGGAGAAAGAGCTATGTCCATAGGCCATGCTGAATTCCTGTCTATTTTGAACAGTTGCCCCCTCGTTAGGAGATGGAAACAGTATGACCAAAGTCAAAAATGAAACACAAAGTCAAATTTAGCCGTGATAAAATTCTGTCTATTAAAGTAGTTAATAATCTACCAGAGTATTAACTTGATATATACTGCTGTCATCCAGAGATGTCACAGTATTAAAGGCGCTGATAATAATATGCACATTTGGACTTGGCACTCTGTCTTTCATCACCAGGTACACAAACGCCTAATAAGAATGGTGTACTTTGGATTTCTGCAGCACACAGAACACAGCAATGAAAGAGTAACAACCCAGTTCAATAATTTTGTTTTGTTTTGCTGTTCTACAGAATGCAGTAGAGTTTAAAGTATTTTTTTGGAAACCACCTATTTTTAACGTGACAAAAAAAGCCAGCTTCCTACCTCCCACTTCAAGCTTCTATTTCTTCTCTGAATCATTCTCTCTAACCATTATTTCTCTTTCACATGCAAGAAGACTAGTTGAGGAGACTGACAACTGAAGTTCCTTGATAAGTTAGCAGTGTGGTGAATTAGGGTGAAGCAAAGCAAAATGCATAGAAAAGGCCAGGGAAGGTTGCTTTGTTAGTTGATTTTTTTTACTGCTGTATAAAATACTAACCCAAAAGGAAAGGAAAACAAACATACGTGATCTGAATGATAAGAATATGATTCATGTAAAGAGAGGAAAAATCTTCTCAAAGAGCAATTTTAAAGAATTATGATAGTGCCTTAGAAATAAGAAGGCTATGATCTTTTCCCTTAAGAAAAGAGAAATAAGGCTTAGTAGTTAAGAGTTAAGACTAAGATGTTAACTTCTGTAAAAGATAAAGATAAGGCTATGATAGTTATGGCTTAGGTCTTAAATTTTAACTGTGGAGTGAATTTCTGTTCAGATGAACATGAAGGTAAATAGAATAAGAAGTACTTAAAAACTAAGTAGAATGTCTTAAGGCTGCAACAGACTTGTTCTTGACTACCCAAAATGGAAAAATAAGAAAATACTTGGATGACTATTCACAGAAATAAATTATAGGGATATTTATTTAATAGTAACTACATGAAATCACACTGTGAACAAGTTCCATATAGCCATAGCATTTCAGTGGATCATCTGGGCAGTGAGAAATTGTCCTTACTTCCATCAAGTTTTAAGAACTTCTAACCTTTAACTGTTAATTTTTTATACTCTGAAATGTTACCCTAGTGTCCTGTAGGATTTCCTAAGAATCCTATACAGTAAGAACCGAAAAAGTGGAAAATCTAACAAAGAATTTTGAAAGCAATAAATGGGAAGCGGTAAGAAAAAAAGGTTTGCTTTCTGGATCTTCAACTTCCTTGCAAAATCTAGAAACCTCAAAGACCTGGCACTCTGGTTACTAAAGCCAGGAACATGAAAGACTACTGGGAAGCTGATACTTCTTTTTTTTTTTTTCATAAAGGAAGGACATACAGGCATACATATAATCTCAGAAGAACTAAGACTGAAAGCTGTTTTAACCAGCTTTTCTCACATCTCTTCTGTAAGAGGTAAATGATGAATGAAAATGTATGCAAGACATGAAAGATATACAAAAAAAGGCAAAAAATTACTGTGTTTATATATTCCTATATACTTATATGTATAATAGGTGTAATTTTTGTTAGTCACCTATCATGTAGCTCACTTAAATTTTTAGTTATCCCTGTGTTACCACAGTGGGGTTTCTAGGCTGGGTTGAATCTTGACTTCTTTTTTTGTTTTGTTTTCTAAGTTTTTGTTTTCTAAGTTTCTAAGTTTTCTAAGTTTCACTAAGTTTTCATTTCACTCCTGATTATTTGGAGAACATTAACATTTTGTGTGACATGATCAACACTTATACTAAATTATCCAGAATGATGGCAAAATGACATTTGACCTTGACACAAAGTGCACTAGAGCCTACAAGAAGATTAACTTCTCATTAGACCAGGTCTCCCTTGACAAACTTTATGGCATATTATGAACATGTAATTCTATTGCCTCTGAGATTACGTATGATGAGCAAAATAAATAGAAACGGGGATACTTCCCCATAAGAATAATACATTAAGAGAAGTAATTTAGTGGCGTGTTCACTGTATGACAAAACGGTAGGAACAGGAAAGGGAAAGGGAAATTACTAGAATAATTTCTCCCTCCACCTTTTTTTAGTAGACCAGGGAAACAAAAAAAAAATCCAGAGGATAAGATAGTGGGAAGGTGAGATGAGAAGTAATCAGGTGTGCAGCTGGGCTGCTAGCCTCATAAAAGATGCAGGAATAAGGATGGGGAAAGCTTAACATTCCTCAGCCGTCTTGGATTGTTGGTAAGACCTGAGGTATGGCCTCCACTTGAAAGACATTGCTGGCATAACCATATAGTTTAGAAGTGGGAAAAAAAATCCTACCCACATCACTACACCCTACTGTAAATGTAGGTCAAGCAGCAAAATAGCCCATTCAGACACTGGGCTTACAGTGTACCAGTTAAATGGTTTTTGCCAATAAAAGCTGTCTTTCTGCTGTGGCTACGTGGGAAGTAGATACTACCTTTTACAGATCTTTTCATATCTAGGTAAACTCTGTAAGAAACTGGAAGCATCATTAGCTGCTTCCTCATGGTAAATTGGGAATATCGGCCTATCTCTGAAATTAAAAACCAGCTCTTACTACCATTATCATGACAGTTCTCAAGAGTAAGCAGTTAAAGTCCTTTTCTATGGGACTTTTACCTACACTGTAAACAGGTACATCCCATACCCTTTTATTGCCCCATCCTCGCAAGACTAATGATGTTTTGGTTTCCTCTCCTTAATTTGGTCTTAAGATTCCCTCCCTCCCCATACATCCCTCAGAAATCAGCCTGTTGCTTTCAAAGAAACCCCCAGAGGGCAAATTTTCAGGGGGTGTGACCCATCTAACTTTCTTTGGCTGCCTTTGAGGCTGTTCCAACTCCAGCGCCTCAAAGCCCAGCAGAAGCCAGGAAACGAGAGCATATGGTAAATAGTTTAACTCACACTAGTTTGGCTTTCAATTCTAACATGAGTTCTCAGTGTTTTGCGTCTAGTAAGATGTCTATTAACTCAAAAGGCTCCAGTTAAAGAGAACAAATGCAGTGACAGTGGACAGATACCAGTGTCTCACAGCTTGTTGCTTAAGAGAGCTGTATCGCACCTCTGTTCAGTTCTGTGATGGATGAAACCTGAGCTCTGAAAAAGATGATCTGTTAAGGTTTAAAGTACAGGAGGTTTAAACTAAAACAAACATGATAACCAGTATTAGGTTTCTAAGCACATCCAGAGCACTCAGCTTGTCAGCAGTCATATATTTACAGACTTGCAGCATATGCCAAATAAGAGACAATGAATCCAATCATAGACAATAAAGCCTGTTGTAAAGCCACTTGTAATAGCAGCTGTTGCCTCTATTAAGAAAAAGTCTTTAAACAGGTTACCTTTTAATACTTCTTTTTTCTCTTACTCCCTCTTTTACAGAGCCTGGGTGGATGCTATAAAAGAAATAGATATTAATTAGAGTGGGCTAATTAATTAGAGTGGGCTAATTCTCCAAAGGAATACAGTATAAACATCTTCCTCCTTAATTTACCTGATGTTGACCACATATACAGTGTAATTCCAGTTCTGGAAAGTACGGTTCAGCTGAAAAACAGGAAGAGATTGATCACATGAACAGTGAGATGTTAATGGGGCTCTTTGTTGCTTAAGGCACAGTTAGAATTTCACCCTTCTGCCCCTTGAGAAATCCCCTTCAGTTTTGCAAAGCAAAGACAACACTCTCATATTTCAGTGAGGTGAATGTTGTATTACATGTACAACTCGTAGTGAGAAATGTGACCTTTTTTATGGACAGAAGGAAATCTCTATAAGGTCATGACACAGTGAATAGGTGAGTGCACAGGATACTGACCTTTCCCTTTTCTCCCCTCTTAAATTCTTAGGAACACTTTGATAAGAATAGACTTCAGGTAAATTTTCACCTGCCAGTCTTCAAACTTGTGAAGATCTTCTTTTCAGATCTTTGTACTATTTATTCTGAGAACAGAGTAGCTGCTCGGATTTCCTCTCGAGAGACACTTTTGCATACTCTGCTAGGGCCAAGTGACACCTTTCTAGATTCTTTGGCTCAGGCAATTTAAGTACTTTGCCTGGCTACTGATGCTAAGAGAACAACCTTGGCAGGTGTGGATGACTGCATTTCTGATTTGTACATTACTATAGCTGGTCTGCCTAGCTCCAGAGTTATTAAAAGAAAAATAAAGAATAGTTTCCATATATTCATGATATATTTTCATGTAACTAGTTGTATAAAGACTACTTACAAATTGTGTGAGTGCGACTATGTGAACTATCATAAGAACAGAGAATATCTGTATTCAGACAGGAAGAACTTTCAGAGACAAGAACTTCAAGAATCCTCCACCTGGAGGGCCCAAAAAGGAGCTTATGCCTACTAAAATGGGCTGAAAACACAGAGACTACTAGAATCCTTAGCAACTGACCCATGGCAGAAGCCTTCTGAAGTAGAGAACATGAGGATAAACTGGAAAAGTTTATTGCCTCACAAAAATCAACACTGCCTGGCTTTCTTAATCATTTCTTTCACCATATAACTTCAAAACCACATTAGCATTTGGGCAGAAGAATTTTGTCCTGTACAGTGATGTTGGAACTCAGACATCTATTGCTTTCAGTGGACAATTCTGATTTCTCCATGCTTTTCAAAATCTCACCTATTATCTGCATTTCTTAAGAAGTGGAGACATTCCAAAATTTTATCGATAGAGCTGAAGAGCCCCAGTTTGACAGAGCTGAATTCACTACTGCACAAATCAATAATAGAAAAATATTTAGGGAACACATACTAACAGTTTATTTGGTAGACTGCTTTTTTCCTTTTCCAACTGATAACACTGATGCACCGGCTTCATATATGTAATCACACAGGAAAGAAAACTTACCCATTCTGCAATGACGTCATGTACTTTTGACACTGAGTTGGAGTTGGAACTAAAGACAGTTATAGATATCCTGTAGAATAGCCCACCTGTCCATTAAAAACAGCATTATAATGTTAGAAACTGAGAAAATGTACCTTTCTAATAATGAGACTTTAGTTTCATGATTAATATAAAGATTAGACTGAACCTCATATACAAGGACACCTCAGGCTCTTGTTGGCATTATAAAGTTCAAAGTGAACGAGGCCTGCAGGTTTGGGACCATTCTCACTAGTCCTGTTGATTTTGACAAGAGTTCCCTCCCCCTTCATATTTTCAGAGACATTTGAAATGTGACATGGAAATTCACAGACAATATATATAAAAATATTATTTTGCATATGCCTCTAATGTGGTGTGTTAAAGCAATATTGTAAAAGTGCCATGAACTAAAAACCTGTTATAATTAATGAAATTTGTAAAAGCAGATAAATACTACTCTAAGTCATATTGTTATAACTCAGAATTGAACCACTGAAGGTTACATTTAAAACTTTGTGAGAGCAGATGAAGCTTATCAATTAAAAGTAAAAAATTAACTGAGGACATTGGACTAGGTGTGAGAAGCAACATACAGCTCTTGTTTCCAGTCTTGGTCTCAGGCCTGGTGATGGCCAGAGAGCAGATGAACTCACATTAGCTTTACAAAGCCGGCAGCTGAACAAACCATCTTGCAGTCACAAAATGTGTAACACTTGGCTTGGTGCAATTTTATATTCAGAAAGCTGTTTTGAAATGTCACTGGGCAAATATAAATTCTCTTTAAGCTCATGAGTGGGTAGGCAGCATTACAAGATTTTACATCTAATAAATAACATCAAATCATTTCATGGTTATGCTGCGTGCCAAAAGTCTGTACTTCTCACAAGTCACTTTTTTTTCATTAAGCTACTAAAAAGTCTGTAAGGTCTAGCTGAATAAAATTTCCCAGGATGTGGGGGAGGTTTAGGAACTTCTGGATGAATTCACTTGCATGTATGTGCATGTGTGGCATGGTTTGGTTCAGGGTTGTTACCAAACAAAGTTGTGGGTCTTGATCACAGACACATGTATTCATATAATCCTCTGCAAATCTTACAGAGACACTACACAGGACAGAACAGGGCATGACAATAATTATACAGAAATCCCTTTCTGCCTCCGGTTGTAAAGGAACTGCTCTATCTTTCTGAATCTAAATAAAAGACCTTTAATTCTAAGTGGAGCAAACATCATAATTTTACAACTTCGTAGATAATTATTGTGCAAGAGCTCGAAACAGAAGTATCTGGAAAGAAAATCTGAAGCCAGCATTTTCCAATTTAATTGTACATTTATTGGATGCTATCCTATTCATGAGATGGCTTGAGTATTATTCTTTCTTTTCAATATGGAATTAATCATATGAACACTGAGACTAGTATGAAAATTCTTCTATGATAAAATACTAAGGAAGATGGTTTACTAGTTACCTTCTTTGGTAAGCTATGATTAAATTTTATATATGAGTAGAATGAACTTATTTTTTGATTTGAAGTCTTTTTTTCCTCCCTTAACTCAGGAGATACATAAATTTGGTGTACACTTCAATCTGAAAATGTATTTTACTTTTACATTATTATTGTGATAGTTTCAAATTAAAAAGAAACCCATGAAAAATTAAGTCTTTGGAAGTAGAAAATTGGACTTTGCGCAAGTTGAAAACACTCGTAAGACCTGGATCTCATTTATATGTATTATATCTCTCTATATACACATATCAGTTTTAAATCTATAATGTATATGTGCTATACAGCTACACACATACAGAAAGTGTTCAATATATATATTCTGACACATTCATATATAATTATACATATATATTATATATATATATTATAACCTTATTCAGATAATGGATAAAACCACCTCAATATAGGAATATGAAAAGTATATTTAAAATCATAGTAAGTACAAAATAGTCAGTAGCTTGGAGATCTCCACCAGATAGTGACTCAAAGCATGGTTTTAATGAGGTGAAAAAAAGAACGAGAACAAAGAACTAATCTATATTTTAAAACACTCTCAGGAGACTGCGGTGGCTGATAGTAAAAACTAAAAATTATTTCTCACTCTCCACATTAAACTGTGGAAATCCCACCTGAAATGCTGACTGAAAAAGACAATATGGGTACAAAATTGATGAAAAGTAGCCAAAGACAATTTGAAAAAAAAAAAGATGACATCAATTCTCTCCACACCCATCACCAACTACAAAAATACAAAAATCAATGAAATATCACTATTTTTCCTTAAATTCTGTCAGGCAAATTATCTAAATTTGACTAAATAAAATTACTTTTTAAAAAAATCTTTGATTTTTGAAAGTAAATTCCTAAAAAACATGTTAGTGAAAAACATTCATACAATCCTAAACAATAAAATGGCATAAAATTATATAAAATATGTGGCAACCAATACATTATCCACACAGTGTCATGAAAGTTGTTTTAGAGAAGTACACAAGTATTAGAAATCATGTTAATGACATATACTATCACTAAGATGTTACAAATTCCCTTCTATTGCAATTAAATTATTATTCCAAAACATCTTCAGATGCTAAATGGACATATATCTAAAGGATGAAAGACAGCTACTTCTATGTTCATTCTACAAACTGAACATGTAATAGATAACATGATGCTGGGCTTTTTCTACATCTGACTAATCTAATGGCTTGATATACTGTAGGTCACCTCAGGTCGACACAGGCAGCCAGGGTCACTGAAGGACACACATAAACAAGACAAAAGGAGTGCAGCAGAGCTAGTAAGGTGACTCAGTGGTGGGCAAGGGGTGCTGTTTTGGCTTGTCCCATATGATAAATTGGCCAAGGAATGAACATGTGCTGAAACTGATGACTGATGGTATGTTTCAGCAGAAGCTGGTGTTTGGGGCTGCATGAGAGAGCGATCGATGGCTGCTGCAGTAGCTCTTGTCAGAGTGCCTGTCAAAATGGTCTCTCTGTGCTGAATAACAACTCTACTATATGAAAATGGTAGAGGTATCACATCAGTCATTACTGCAGTTCTGGATGACTCCAAAATAGAAGAGCTATTTGCAAAACATGCATAATCAGCATTTTCAAAATCCAAGACATGAATAGTAACAATATTCAGAGAAGACATTCCTTCTCTGTCCTTGCTGAAGGATCCATACACCTCCCCTTTTGAATCCCATTCAGAAATCCTCAGTATGCTTGTGGGTCTCAAAACAGCAAAATTCCTTATGTCTTCATTATTGTCAATAAATTCTTGTTCTACTGCCCACAGAGAGACTGTCCACTTGATTTTCAATGGAGTTTTGTCCTAAAAAAGTTTGATAACTTCTCAGTATCTCTGTTGTTGGAAAGCTTAAGTCTTCTACATCCCACTGAGGAATCAGGCTTGGAGAAACTGTATGAAGATAGTTCTGAAAATTTTGTGGGAATGGGGGTGTGGAGTAGCTGTTAGGAGGTACACTGACTCTGAATTTTGAGTCTGCATGAAGAAGGTGCCTTAATTCCAAAGACAATGTCATTGGAATAAAGTCAGAACTCACTGAACAAATGTTTTTTAAAGATCTGCATCTATTTGAACTTCACTTCTTGCTTTATCAGTTGTATTTGTTACAGCATCATTCTCTGAAAGACTTTGAGACTATGATGTTCTGTGTGTTTTTGTACTGCTTATCAAACTCTTAACTATGCAATTAACCGGAGATCCCGGTGTACTGATCAAGAAAGAAGTTTGCAAATCCCTTGAACAAGAAGGCTGGGTTCCTGAACGTGTTGGAAGGACAGAAACAGGCTGACACCTGTTGTTTAGGAAAGTCATACTGGTTTGATCACTTACTGTGTCAATTTGAATTTGTATTTGCAAACTATCAAATAGTTCATTGCTGAGTGCAATTGTGATATTGCCCTGCCATTACTTTCTGAAATTCTCTTTGAAATACCTGGAATAAATTATCTGAAGATTTGTTTTTCCAAAGCTGATACATGACTACAGAAATTAATTTCTTCAGCTTTGTGCCCTCCTAATCTAATAGCAGATGTTTGCTGAAAGATACTGTTAGACTTAGCACATGAACTAATGGACAGCAATCCCTCTGTTGGAGAAGAAAGTAGTATATTGAGAACCACTGATTTTCTGATGGCTTCCCAGAAAATACTTGAGGTGCTTCTTCCAAATGATGGGAAACAGTCCAGAAACTTGCTCTTAAAGAGGGGGAAATATCTACATATTTGGTTGGAAAATCTAAGTAACCTAAGTTCCAGTAGTTGCCAACTGGATTCATGTTCCCTGGTTCTAATATGGAAAAAGCTGACTCTTCATTTTCATTACTATCATGAAATGCATCTAAATTGTTCTCCAGTACTACCATTTCTGATGGTCTTGCTGGGCTTTTGAAAGTATGGATGTTGTAACTAATGAAGTCAGTAATTACTATTAGATATAAATACGTTATCACTTTCCAAATACCTGTCAGTCAACTGTTGCTGATAAACAGGCAGGGTCATTACAACACAACTGCTGAGCTTGTGCAGCCTGGTCCTACCAGAAGTGCTGAAAATGTTAGTAGCTGTCTACTGGGTCCTAGGACTGAACTTGTCAGTTGGGTTTGCACATGGAGTGTCTACAGAGATTAAATTTGTAATGCTCCTGAGTGTTTTTCCTCAATATACGTAGATTTTCTAAACTGATATGCACTGCTTGCTGCTAACATAGAAGAAGTTTTCCTATCAGCATTGCCTTCTATCATTTCCATAGAAAGATTTCCAGGTGCCAAGTCTAGCAAATCTAGCCTACTTTTTTGGAATGGTGATTTCTCCTCTATAGATTGTATAGGAAAGCTAGAAGAAGAAAGATGTCTGTCTTCTTTAATGTCAGAGGTGATGTGATGATGAAATACAGTCTCATTCCAACAGTTCACAGGCTCCAAGACATACATGAAATTGGTTGTGTTGCTGTTGGAGGACAAAATCTACACAGTTTCTTTTTTGTGTTTGTAAGCAGTGCTGCTGCTGCTAATAGGAGAGCAGAACGCTGGCTCAGTCAGAGTGACCTAGTCCATTTGTCAAAGTGCATGCTAGCTCTGCATTAGGACTTCTACTGTGAAGAAGAGGAACTGCTGCATTCACAGAAGGCTCTGTAACTGCATCTATTGCATAAGAAGTGCCATGAAATGCACTTCTAGAATAATTCAGAATATTTTCACTTGGCAAATGAAAATACCATTCCATCACAGTATTGTCTAGGTTGATTTTTTTCTGTAAAAGCAGCCAAGGTTTCACTGTGGGTCTCAGAAGCAGCTGATGTGGACATAGTTGGAAGAAACAAGCTGTATGGATTTTTTTCTCTCAGGGTTCTCATCTGCTGAGTTTTTACTGAAACGTAGCGGCCTTTGTTTCACTGACCAAATAACTGGGGTTGAGATAATTCCTATGGTTTTGACCCCTTCTATCTTAGACTCTTGATGCCACTATGGTGGTGAATGGGAGAATTCAGGTGAATTTCTCTTCATTCTGAAGATAAGTGTAGCAGGAAGTCTGAATTCCTGCAGGTCTGTCTGCATTAAGCCACATAGTTACTGGATTAAAGAAAGTATGTGTAATGTGTATATTCTTGGCTGTCTGCTTTTGGTCTAAAAATCAGCTTACCAAGAGTGAAAAATGATGCCAGTCAGCTGAGTGAAAGTTTAATGTGTTTCTACCATAGGTGAATTTGGCTTATTTTCTAAGTCTTCCTACTTTTTCTTGGGCATTTCAAAGCCACAGAAAGCCATAAAAATTGTCCAATTTTTATTCATATTAACATTAATGAAGTTTGATTCCTTCTGTCATTAAAAAAATCAGAGTAACTGCTCATGGTGAACATAGAGTGAGTGGATCCACAAAAAGAAAACAAACACAACTTGCAAGAAATTTTCAATATTTTCTTCTCACTTTTACAGATTACTTAATCTAAAGAGTCTGGATTCAGATAAATTCTTTCACATTGTGTACTGCACTGCCTGATTGCCAACATACAATAAATGATCTGCCAAAAGAAAAAATGCTCCAAGAGTTTTAAATCCTACAGTAACAACTGATGCATTGGGGAAAAAAACCTCAAAACCAAACATGCTAAAAACCAAACAACAAAAAACACCCAGATTCTAATTTATTTCTGTGGAGCACACTGAAAAAATAAATCTTAAAAAAAAATAATTCTTTAGGCCTCAGATGAAAATTGCACGAATCTATCTCTGTGTTGTTAATAATGCTTAACAGCCATCTTTAACATACAAATAAATATTTTAGCAGCACCTCACAAAATGATGCTCAGTCTTTAGGAGACAGTGATATCATAGAATTTGAGAAAACCTCAAAAGAAATCCTGGCTTTAATCCTGTGCTAATAATAGGCTCATTTACTACCTTATTTTTTCCCTTAATCTTTCTAAATGAAAAGTAAACGATATCTGATACTGTCAACATTTTCCCTAGTAAAGTCTGATCCAGCTCTTCTTGAAGTCAGTGGAAAGATTCCTGTTGACTCAGTGGAAGTGGCTTTGCTCCACAGGAACGGTTCCACTTGGCTCCTGCGCCTGACTAGTGAGGAACAGACAATCCAAGCATACTACCACCCTGGCTGTACAAGTGGGAGCCACACAATCTGCAGCCTTGAAACATTGCAACAGCACAGTTCTTTTCAGACCCTTTTCCACAATCCCTCTCCCTTCCTTTGATCTTTGCGTAGGTAGATACAATGGGAAACACAAAATTAATGCCTTTCATAGAAGAGCACACAAACATACAAACATACAAATAAACACTGAGTTTGGTTCTGTTCTCATTTGCACCCTTCTGACATGGTCCAGTGAAGTTAGTCCTGATTTATTTCAGCATAAATGAGATCAGAACTGAGACATGACCCTTGACATTATGATATTAGGAAAAACACACCTTAAAATACAACAAATTTGCTTTACACACAGTACAAGGAAAAATGTAACACAGGATTTCTTACCATTGTTTGGCTTATCGTTTCTATTAGTATCGGGCATGTTAGTGGTGACAGTGGGTGGTGTAGGAGTAGTAGCATTTACAGTAGCTGGTAATAAAGATGAGAAAGAGGTGAACTTGAATGAAATATGAATGTTAATAAGGTAAGACAAAATGGGAACAATGCATGACCATGTAAAATGAAACCATCTACACACAATGCCATAAATGTTAAATAAACACATTATTTTTTCTGCACAAAGTGATGAACAGATATGAACTGAGGCCCCAATCCTGCAACCTTCACTTCCACTGACTTCACTGGGAGTTTTGTCAGTGTAAAGTTTGCAAGATCAGTCCTGTACAGCTTTCATAAACTCAAAATCCTCTTATGAGGGCTTTAGATCGAAACAGCTGGGCAAAGACTAGAAATAAGTTTGAAGATGCATGCACTTACTGCCTGTTAAAAGAATCATTGTCCCTACTCAAAGACTGAATATGACAAACAAATGAGAAACAAAAACATTCATTTAGGATCTAATTAACTCCATTAAGCTCCAAACTAAAAACAGAACTGAAATCAGAGTTGGAATAGGTGAAGAATAATATATATTTTGAAAGTGTGACATAGGAGCTCAGCTATACTGTTCCCACCGACACCAACAGGAGTCACCCCAAACAATTCTGGAAACCAGCTGGACACTTTTCAAAATTAGAGGGAGGAGCCAAAACTGTGAATTTTCCCCACAGTAGACTGGGAGGGTATATGTGCTAAAGGAATTCAAAGGTCATGGCAATCAATTTTCAAATAATGATTTGGGAAATAATTTAATTTTGTCCAGGAACTCCCAGGGAATGCAGATCCACTCACTGACAGATTGACTTTTTTTCCTGAAAACTCTTGGTTAAAATCTGAAGGTTGGTATGGTAAAATCCCAAATGTTACGTGGCTTTGGATGATTTTGACCAAGAAACAACCTGGAAAGCTTAAACAATCGTATTTTGGACAAGAAATTGTATTTTTAAATGTTTTGTTATGTTGATTTACCTAAACTTCTGAGTCTGAAAGTCATAAATTCAAGTCATAACTTAGAGAGTAGGTTCATGTTCAGGTTTCAGTGAGACAAGACAATAAGGGAAAGAGAAGTTTCACACAGGAGCAAACAGGTTATAACTGGGAAAGTGAGCATATAAAGTGACACCCTGTAATATGAAAAAAGCTCTTCTCTCGTGAAACCTCAGAGCTATATTGTCTGAGAAACAAGTCATAAGGCTTCTAATAGATTGCATCTTCCAGTTAATGCTAGCATTTCCTAATGAATGAAAATATTTACTAAGCATAACAGAGAAAACAGCTTTCATCAGATGGTAGCAGATTTGGCATCCACAAACTTTTTTCCTGGTGTTATTGCACAGCACACAACAAACAAACGAAAAAGGAATCCAAACTTGCCTCTCAGTTTAGAGAAAGCTTGCAGTGTTGACAGAAATAAATATATTTTTAAGATTTTTGTTATTATTACAATAATGATGATGGCGCTGAATGGGGTAAATCTGACCTGGCATCTTATTCCAAACTGATGAACTGAACACAAGGGACACTTTACGAAACACTTCTTATAGAAGGAAAGAGTAGTACCTTGGTGAAAATACTCAGTCTTTATTGAATATATGATGGCCTAAGAAGTTAAGAGAGGCAAGTTTGAAATGTAGCACCTTTTATTAGGGCAATATCTTCTACTAGACAAGTTAATAAAGCTGGAAAAAAGGATAAAGCTTTCAGAAAAGCAGGTTTGTTTTGATGAAAGTGTGCCCATTTCTGCAGCCATATTAGCTGACGTAATGATAGTCTCTTCCTTTCATACTGTGCCACTGTGATGTAGGAAAACACTCAGAGCTCTTCCAAGAGAATATATGAAGTTATTTATATGGTGGCTTTATTACCCTTTACATATAAAAAGACTAATACTGAATAATTGAGGATACCTCATTTACCAAAGTATTTGAGTGGTAGTATTAGCACACTGTGCTTTATGCGTATGATGCCTGAAAATTACGGTTTGAAATCTGATTATGAACATTAACGGCATTTCACTTTCCCTGTGGAGATCAGTACACTATGCTTCAAGAACCTGAACCAAATTTACCTCAGGAAAATCTGGAAAAAGTACACTGAAGAATGACACAGATCCCTTACTGGCTTTCCAAGAAGAGTACATTTTCCCTTTTATATTTGACCTAATCTGCTTTACTTTTAATATTGGTTTTGAAAGAGTTCTCAGACTTCCTCTTCCTCTCTTATATTTTATTCTCTCCTGTCTCCTTCTTCCACCATTTGTTCAGAAAAGGGTTACACAGCTAGACATTTTTGGTGTAATTGCTGTTGTGATTAAAGTTTAACATTAAAGGCCAACATGTTATCAGGTTTGTGTTCATGAAGGTGTTGTGTAAATGGATTGATGTTGTTCATCTAAAGAACTTTTTACGGAACTTCAGCATCTAAGGAGAACAGAATTAATTAACCATCCTTGCATGTCCACTGCTTCACATGACATGGAAATCTTCAGTGTTCACCCACCCCTTGCATTCAGCTAAGCTGACCTTTAAAGACACCTAATAAATTCTTATATGTGGTGATTTTTACACTATTAAACCATCACTAAGTGTTGTAGTATGTGGTTCATTAACTAATAGCTACTGGATTCTGCAGTTTAATGTTGATTTTTTAACCTGCTAATCTCAATGTATCTAGCCTCAAAATAGCTTATTGAAAAAAAAACCTGAATAAGAGCCAGTTCCTTTATTTCCATCTGCTCATTTTTTATTTAGAGATGTACCCACTTCTTATACTGATTAATATTTTACTGTCAAAATGTGTAGGAGGAAAAGAGGTGGAGAAAGAAATGAAAACAGTCAATTAATTCAGTTTTGATATAATGGAGACTATTTGCAAAACGTATTATCAAGGGAGTGATCACATTTTTTCCACATACTGTACATACAGGACAACCACACATTTGATGAGACTAAAGAATTCCTTTCCTTGCTATTTTTTATTGCCACTCACCCTTTTAGAAACAATAATAAAAAAGAAATGGAATAAAAAACCTCAGGATTTCCCAAAGACGAAACTGTGAAAAGGACACGGACTTCTTACCTTGGCAAAGGCTTCCTAGGTTTGCACAACTGGTTGGTTCAATTGAAGAAGAGGGAATTAGATATGAGCCTTTAAAAGAAGAAAGTAAATAATTTAGAAAGGATTGGCTACTGGGCATAAAGTTGTCATGATATATGATAATATATGATATCATTCAGTGCAGTCCTCTTCCTAATTTCTCTCAGTGGCAAAACTGACACTGCCTCTAAGACTTCATGTGTTTTCATTTTCTGTTTCCACTGCAGGATCCTTGAAAACCCTGCTGACTTGCAAGTTACAGTCACTTGTGTATCCTCCCATGGTTTTCTTAGCTTTCACTAAATAACATCACATTAAAGGAATGCAGTTTGCATGAACTGTGTGAAATGAGTTTAAGCAAAGGTTCAGTATGGCCATAGGATTTATGCAATCTTTGTGAGTAACAACCCCTGCCTTGGACGAGAAACTACACTCTGCTACTGTAGCACGGGTTACCCACCACACAATTCTGAGTAATCTGCCCGTGACAGACACCAGCCAGATAAAAGGTAATTAAACTTGTTTCTCTGCCCAGGGCGTGGGTGTGATTAATATTCTGGTATGCATGATTTATAAACAGATAATGTTATAAGTCTGTATCTCTACAGAATTATTCATAACAACAACCATACACTTTGATGATCTAGAGGCAAAAACAGGACACGTAAGAATGGCTACAGAAAAAGACCTAGCACAACTGAATTAATTGCAGTTTGTGTATCCCAGAAGTTCAGCCGCGGATACAGCTGCTTTTGCACACTGTGTTGAAAATAATGGGACCATAGAACACTGCTAAAATGTGAACCTATAAGAGTGTTACCCTTTTGGCTTTTGCTTTACCACTTCAGAATCATATCAACTAAATGAGGTTGTCTCCTTCCATAAAATTAAACAGCCACCATCCATCAGCTTGTAAAGATGGCTAAGAAAGTATTTCCTGTGATGCAAGAACAAATGAAGCATGGACCCTTGATACAGAAATTCTATGATGCTCCAGATACCACTACATGCATTGCCCACAAATATAAGACAGAATTAAATATGTGATCCTCAACAAGTATTAAAGCTCAGCAATTTCTTTTTTAACAGTTTAAGAGACAGAGGTGAATTCACTCCCTTGGTATACTTCTTATGAACTCCTGAAAGGATGTTCTAAGTGAATGTATTACATCCTGCATGAGCTTTCTTCCCTCCCCACCCCCAAATTAAATTTGCTCATATTAAACAGTCAATATCAAAACCTACTCTAAGTTTAATCCCTGTTCTGTATCATGGAACAATAACCTGAGAGCTGTTTGGAAAATCTGCAGGCATTCATATTTTCTTCACTGAGTATTTAAAACAAGACTATGATTTTATTTGGTGAAACTAAAAAAAACCCCAATCCAACTTTACAAAACATTTAAATCAGAAGACTGTTGTATTGAATTTGCATGGCAATGGTTTGGCAGCAGGGAGGATAAAGGGGTGGTTCTGTGAGAGGCTGCAAGAAGCTTCCCCGATGTCCAATGGAGACAATGCCACCCCAGTCCAAAATTGGACCTGCCACCAGCCAAGGCCAAGTCCATCAGCAACAGTCATAGTGCCTCTGGGATAACAGACTTAAGAAGGGGAAAAGTTACAGCAAAACAGCAAGGCAGCCAAGAGGGGAGTGAGAATATGTGGGAACAAAACTCCACAGACACCAAGGTCAGTGAAAAAGGAGTGGGAGGAGGTGCTCCAGGTGCTGGAGCAGAGATTCCCCTGCAGTCCATGGTGCAGCTCGTGGTGAGGTAGGCTGTCTCCCTGCAGCCCATGCAGGCTCATGGTGGAACAGATATCCACCTGTAGACCATGGAGGACCCCATGCTGGAGTAGGTGGGTTCCTGAAGGAGGCTATGACCCCACAGGAAGCCCTTGCTAGAGCAGTCTTCTGGCAGGATCTGTGGACCCACAGAGATAGAAGCCCACTCTGAAGCAGATTTGCCAACAGGATTTGTGACTCCATGGACTTGTATTACAGGCACTTTATGTTGTATATCTCACTCCAAATGTCTAAGATTCAGACATCCGTGTCTGCCTGTCATGACTGACTTTCTTCACAGTCAGTGGAGAGGAACAAGTACTCCTACAGCAAAAAACTTCTGACTTCACTGAGACATCTTCTCTAGTATGAGATGCACTGACCTGTGGAATAGCCTTTTTGATTCAACTGTTCATAAACAGTACTGAGGGTAATTAGCTCTGCCTGAAAAATTGTCCAGCTGCCTAAGGCAGAAACATCCCACACTAAGTTAAATCTGACAGTGAAACTAAGAATTCCTTTGGCCTTCGGGAATGAAGGACTCGTATAAAATGGATATAAAACAAATGCAATTGCAGGCATGGACAGACATGCTGCCACACTGTCCTTAAACTGAGTAGATCATATCCTGCTATAGGTGTAGCCAATGCAGATTTGAAAATCAGAACCAGAAGTTGTTTAAATGCTCATCAATTTGCCTGCACTGAACTCTGAACTGGTGTTCAGCAGCAATACAGTGCTACCATTACCTAGGCTACTTGTTTTAAAATTAGTCCGGATACTCAGGCCATGTATGTATACCTTGAAATATAATCTGTGCAAAGGTATGGCAATAAAAACAGAATTCTGTCAAGTCCTACACAAACACCCCACCATGACTGCACAGCTGTGAAAACAGTCTGGGGAATAAACTAGTAAAAGGTAAAACTAGGAAAAGATTATCTGAAACGATTTGCCAGTCTTTTTATGCTCCATAAACCTACTTGTAAAAGCTTTGTCTGGAAAACCCTGAAAATAATACCCCTTGATAAACATAAGCACTATTCAGGCACAGATATGTTGAGATCATGGCTAAATGCTTGGTTTGCTTTTTTTTTTTAGAGTTACATGCTGCTTCCTGGTGAAGCATTATTGGAGTTGTGTGAAAACCTCTTTTCTGCATAAATCCTTTCATTGCTGTTAAATGAAGCCTGATCAGAGTCAGCTCCCAAATGTTAGTGGTTTATTCACGGTTGATAGTCTGACTCATCAACTCTCCTGTTGAAGGGTGGTTTTACAAAGAAGCTTTTACTCAAGGAGAAGAAGGGAAGAAAATTCTCACAATTTAATCTCTGGGATTAGTAACCATCTTTGAAATGGTATTGCATCCAGTATTTTCTTTTAGGAAATACTCTGGCTCAGGAAAGCCTTTATCACAGAGGGTGATTTAACATCTAAGAAAGAAGAAGACTGACTAATGAGTTAGTTTTCTCAAAGGCTGATTTAGAGGAAATAACAATGCTTATAGGTGGATGCATTTCAAGAGACTTATACAGACTTCTGGGCCTAAAGTAGGAACACTAATATACTTTTTCTAAAACAGTGCTCTGCTGGACACTGTCATCCCAAGGAATAAAGCTGTGCAATGAAACTAAGTCTACTGTTTCTATGACCACAGCTGTGATATTACATTTGTGTCACAGGGACTGTACAGTCTTTAATAGAAAGAAGAACAAGACCCCTACTTCAGTCAAAATTAAATGAGAGTGCAGCTTCTACAGAGGTCTTGGTAGGTTGTTTGGTAAAAGTGTTATGGTAGTCATCATGGTATAACAGTGTAAGAGAAGTAAGATTTTCTGTAAAGTTATTCTCTATGAGATCAGTTCATACTCATGAAATAGAAACAATTTCTTGTCCGGAACGCCTTTATCAGTCATAGTCAGATCAGTCTCTTCTTTGTTCTGGTTGAAGGCTGAAAGTACCCAGTTGCTTGTGGTTTTATAGAAGTGTTGCTTAACTTTTTTTAGCAGAGGCACGCTGAGATCTGTCTCAGTGGGTCTAACTGTGATTGTGTGTCACGCTTTCATTTGAGAAAAATAAAGCAAGCAAGATAGCTTTTTTAGCCACCTTAAGCCCTCATGAGCTACTGAATACAGAAACTAGCATGTCTTAATGGTGCCAGCTTCTGTTCTAAACCAAGGACTCTCTTAGTGCTGACAGATGCTCTGTCAGGAGATGTTTATATTGACACTACTTAAACTGTGTTTAAACCAGTAAGTAATAAAATGTCAGAGAAGCAAGAAGGTAAAATTGGAGAGGACATTAGATGCGAAGTGACCCTACGTTGTTTAGAAAGAAGCAATATCTGTAACCGTTTGCTTTGATTTTTTTGCTTTTGTTTTTATCAACATGTATTCATTATTATTGGAGAGCTCAAACTCTGTGGCACAGAGTTTGATAGCAGCTGATTTTTACAAGCATCATATATATATGTGTATAGGCTGTTCCTGGCCATCGTTCAGATTTTCCACTATGCATTTTATAATTATCTAAATATCTCCAAAGCTATTAAGCAAAACATTTTTTAAAATTATTATTGTTATTATTATTATTTTATTCATTACTTATTGGTTATTATTATTTTTCTTCCAAAGTGACAAAGAGTTTTCAGCTTTGATTTTTTTTTCATCCCAGTAGAAAACTGTGAACCAGCTTTAAAAACATAGACATTTACAAAAGTTACACCTGGACACTTGCAAGAATCAAGTGTCTGAGCCATGAAATGAGAACAGGTTGGACAATGTACTGAATTTATTTCTAGAGTAATCTACAGGAAAAAAGACCTTCAGTAATTACCAATTAAAAGAAGGACTGATAATATATCATCGGGGAGACAAAATCTGATGATTTTGCTCTAAAACTCTTCCTTCCTGTATGCCTCCTCTAATTCAATATTTTCTTCTACTTTCCTGTCTCATATGAATTGTTGTTTTGTCACTGATTTTGTTGGCTCTGTACACGCAGCACAAGCCTACCAAGCACTCCCCTGGCTAATCAAAGGGTGAAAGGGCAGGTACAAAAATATTTAGTAATTAGTTAACATACTTTTTTTTTTTCTCCAGAGACCACTGTAATCTTACTTGGGGTTAGCAGGTAGTTGCAGTTATCCCCCTTTTGTATGAGCCAATAAGGAGTGTTTAGGAAAAACTTTCATCTGCAGATCATTTAAAGCAGCAACTCAATATACTTAGGGGACTTGTTCTTTTCCTTTAAGGAATCAACTCTATATCCTTTCAAAGACTCTGTGTATGGTAAGAGTTGAGTTAAAGTCTAAGAAAGGCAAGACCTAGCTATTTTACTTTCACAGGAAAGCTCTCATTTTTTTCCATCTTGGTATATGATCAGCACAATGTAGAAGTGTGGGGGGAAAATAAGCAAAAAAGTTTTGGCAAGGCGTACTCACCACAACTCAAATTGTTTTCTGCTTTCAGTGCTGAAGTTGGAATACTCCAGAATTCATTTTCCCAGTCTACAATGTTTCCTTTCACATCGCAGCTGAGGTTGGCCAGTGTTTGTGCATTCATGGTGAAATTCCAGAGGCGGAAGTTGTAAATGTCTCCATTTAGAGAGCTCATTTCATTGCTGTTAGAGCCCAGCACCAGCCTCCCGTTTCCAGGGATAACTTTGTCAAAGATACCTGGACAGTACACTCTATGATAGGTGCTTTTGGCATATATACCTATAGTCCCTGAGAACCTGTCCCATACAACACAGAGCTGTTGAAAGGTTTCCGTGAAAAACTCTGCATTTCGGGGCAATGCCTTCTCAAGGATGCACTGTGTGCCTGAGATGGTCAGAAAATGGCCTTTTGTAGTCTTCCCAAAGCTGAAGAATTCTGTCGACAATGCATCAGTGTAAGAGAAAACCTTCCAGTCGTCGTTATCATCACTGTTGCCTTTGGTTGCTTCAAAGCACAGCGTAAACTGGCTCAGATCTGGCACTGAGACAGTCTCTGCCACAGACACAGGATCGATGTCGGGAACCTGGGGAATGATGACTTTCTGATTCCTCAGAGACACAGCGACTAGAAACAAGAGCAGATGAGTAAATTAACAAAAAAAAATTTCATCGTATAGAAACATAGGCAGACTGGCAGTGGGATTTAAAGTAAGATTCATTAAATCAAACATTCATCAGGTGGTTTTTATCACTGTAATACATTAATAGCACACACCAAGGAGAATTAGACTTAGCAGTGCACTCTGCTAAAAATATGCAGAGATCCTTTCAATGGCACAGAAAATGCTGTTAACAGCTAAAACCCCCTATGCTGCATTAAGAGCAATATTAGGACATATTACTTACTAACTTCCAATTCTGTTTCAGCTCACTTTATAAAAATTACTACTCATTCATCGACTAAGGATGCATTAGGCAATAGACTAAACCAGTTATCTGAAAAAAACCAGTATGACTTGCATTAAGATACACTATTTTAATTACTTGTCTGCATGACTGTATTACACCAGTGAAGTTCAGGCCTTGCTTCTTTTAATTATCTCAGTATAAGAAAGCTGCCACTACATTCCTTGGCAAACTGAAGCCTTTTGTTCCTGAATTCACCTAATGGCTTTCTGCAAAGCATTAGGCATCTTCTCATTTTGTCCCCAGCAGCTTTCTTGTTGAACACTGCAATCGTGTGTTCATGAATATTCATATCCAAGCTGTTCACTGTTTGTTATCAGTTGGGTCAGCAGTTTTGGATTTTGCACAAGTATCTAGAAATGTCTAGTCCTCCTGTGAATTATGTGCTGTTGTAAAGATATTTAGACATGGGCAGAATTGCTGTCTCTAATTGTTATTAAGTATTCTCACTTGCATGGACTAAATGGCAGTCACCAAATGTGAGAAAAGGTATCTCATGACATATGGTTTTTCTCCATGAGTACATTAATGACAATTCTGTTCACTCTATTTTGGAGATCATTAGTTTTCAAAACCAAATGTCAATATGCTCAGTTTTATATTTATGGTAGCAAAATTCTTCTAGCAAATTTCTCCACAGAATTAAGTTTCAGGCTATCAGACATGCAGTCAAGAATGCAGCAGCTCCCGGTTTTACTTCTGGCTCCACAGTTCTTTGTCAGAGTATATCTTCTCTCACACATTTTCACAGCATGTATGCTGGAAGCGAAACTCTGTTGCTGCACCTGAAGGATAACTGCCACAGTAGTGAATTTCTAGTCTCCTCTGGGATTTTTCAGTGATGTCACAACTCTTCATTACTACAACTTTTGTCTTCTCAGAATGTAATATAAACCTTTTTAATATGAGAGGGTGAGACAGGAGGGAAGGGTGACTGTCATATCGTAGTTGGGAAAAGATGCAGTTATATGGGGTATAAGGATTCTGTGTTGTCTGTGGTACTGCAAGTTCCTTTTGCCAACCAAGACACAGCTGCTTGCAAAGACTGAGCTCTAAACTACCATATTTGGATATACATAAGGACATAATTTGACCAAGATATTACATAGTAAAAGAACATAAAGCATTGACGCACTGTCCGCCAACCCAGCAACTGCAGAATGAGAGGGAAGAGAGAAAAATACTGGGCTTTTATAGTTACTGGATTTACTTCATAGATTTATTTTTCTTCCCAAGGGAAAAAGTATGTTGTAACAATTTTATAGATAGAAAATGTGTTCAACTCTCCATTGAAAACAGGGGCACTTTTTTAGTGGGGTAATTATACTGTAAGCTCCTTTACATAACATGGAAAGTGATCCAGAAGAAGTATAAGGATTCAAGACTTGGAAAATAAGAAAGCTTATTCATATGAGTGTTATCCAGCCTGTGTTAGGGTGGTCAGGAAAGCTGTGGACCGTCTGGTCACATTTAAACAGTATAGAAAGAGAAATAAACAGGGAGCACATTGCTCCCATACTGAAGAAATGTCCTCAACTCTGCTGTATGAAAGGGCAAAACTGAAAAGTATTTTGTCCACATGAAGAAAACAGAATCCTGTGTAAATCTCTTTCCTGATTGCAGTTGCACACTCAGTCATCACGCTGATGAATTTCAGATGTTAGTACTGCTTATTATTATTATTATACACATATTCTTGAAATATTCATCCAAGTGTTTATACTACTTTCAGAATGATGTGAAATTGTTTCTCTTAGGAAGATAACTGGATTAGAATGGGCATGTGTTTTTCTGACATATTGCTATTTTCTCATGAAGAATGTACAAAAAACTTTACTTGCATCTCACTATCTCACATCTCATATCCCCCTTTATGCAGAAGCAAGCCAGGAGTCCCTAGAGTGTATTTTACCATCCCTTGCAGGAAAAACTGATTTCCTGTCAGCTGATGGGCTTTTCAGCATGGTTCAGTGCTTGACTGGTACCTTCATCTGCCCTGTCACTGATGCTGGAAGAAATGTGTCAACTTCAATGAGGTCTGCAAAACTCTACCTACCAAGTGCCTGTTTGAGAGTGTTTTGTTACTACCTCAGTGAATTGTGCTTTTAACCCAGGCTATTGCAGTACTACTCAACTGTATACTAATTTGACATTGTCTCAAGCATTTCTGTACTAGCAGCCATCTCTTGGCTCTCCGTCCTCCCCTTTTGGCAACTGAGTGACTTTTACTGACTAGTGGAGCTATTACTTATGCAGTTAACTGTTATTAGAAAATTATTTACCATGCCAGCTCTTCAGCTGGTGTAAATAGACATAATTCCCCTAAGACTGGCAAAGCTGTATTTGTTTACTGGAGCTGAGGATATGTTGGTGTGTTGCAGTAGGTCACAATCATGAAAATCAACATTTGTGTGGGCAGCCAACTTGCTATGGACGACAGAACACACTTTGCAAAACTCAGTTTGAAACTTGTTTGTTCTTACCTAAAACTGAGCAGTCACAGAAAAGCCGCTCTATTCCCTATGTACTTCCTTCCCAAAACTCACTGACATCTGCCATGAGGATGAGTTGTAATTTCACTGTATGTGTGTGTCGATGTCCTATTGTCCACATGCTTTTATAACTTGAAAAGAAAGTGGTACATCATAATACCTTTACCAAGCCCATTTTCTGTATCCATTTCCAGGTTAGATGTCACTATGATCTTTGACTGTAACTATCTTCAGAAACTAACATAATTGCACAACTGTGGGCAATAAGTAGAATATAGTTTTAATTTGCCCTAGAAGCATGTGGCCAGCTCTCCCAGCACCCACGGTCAAAATCAAGATTTCAGGTGAAAGTTACACATTTGGAGTAATGAAACCAAATTCACTGGCCTCAGTCTAGATGCTTAACACAAAGCCTTAACACAAACCTTCTGAACTAATACATATGAAACATTTAAATACAAGTTACTGGTGAAGGTCTCCGACACTTTTACTCACACTGGGCAATAGCCTTCTTTTTCAAAATAAAAGGATTTCCAAGACCATTTAATGGTGCTATCCATGAACAGAAGGCACTATCCAACATGGTATGGAGGTAATATTTTTGCTTTCATTAAAATATGTTACATGTAGGTATATATGCACAAAGAGCTCTCTATGTCTGTGGACCTTTCCTCTCTCCACCATTAAACATAGCTGAATCTTTCCATTCCAATTGTAAGTCATCCTATCCTTACAGTGATAATTAAACTAAAATAAATATTCAAAAATTAAAGAGGAATAAAGAAATAAATCATTTTGCATAATCTGACTGCAAATAATTTTTTTATGATCCACTTGATTTTACAACTTCTTACAACACAGCAAGAGTTGCTATTTTCAAATAGAGAAACCTTTCAGAGAATTTCCACTTTCAGAACAAAACAGGTGCTCCTAGAATTATTACTACATTCATTTTGTCAGCATGAAAGGACCTCAGTAGAAAGAGGTATTTTCAGGTCCTCTGTGATGTTACCTTTTTAAGAACTGCACACGAATTTTGCTGTCATAATCAGGCCTATTTGTGTTTTATCATTCCTGGGGGTTGCTATCTTAATTATTTTAAAATATATGATGTGTAATAAATATTTTAATAATAATCACAAGGAAGATGTGCTTGTGACTGAGGAGAGGACTGCCAAGCCTCCCTGCTCTGTGTTTTTAAGGCAGCTAGCCAACCAGCAGAACATAAGTGTGCTACAATAATGTAAACGCTCAATGCAATACTAGTGTTCAGTTTAAAGTGTACAACTTCTACAAAAATAAAGTCTACTGGGAGAATGCAACTGGAAACTAAAACCCTTAAGTGAAATGAACAGTGAGCCATATATGGAGGTCTGTCAGTGACCATCCTAATGCCCTCCATTTTCTCCCTGCTCTTTACCATCATGAAACTTCTAATTAACACTTTAAATACAAAAAACAAACATCATTCAGAAGCTATTTGTACCCTTATCTTCCAGGAGAAAATGCAGGAGTGTCTTGCTTTTTGCAGTTTTAGGCTTTTTAAAACTTTTAAGAGCAATGTTATGTATCTAAGGAAGGGAAAGAAATGTCAAGGAACTGGAAAAAAGGTAGCTATTTTGCAATGTCAGTTCATTCCTGGAGGTTTGTTCCAGAGACTGGATGAACTCTGAGAGGTTCTACTTTCTGCACAAACTCCTCCTTACCACTGGTCATTTCAGTGGGTCGGAGGTCTGGGCTGGTCTTGTTTCTGTCTCAGCTAATTTTCCTGATCGCTGCAGGTATGCTGACCTGAAGGACAGACATCCTGCTTTCAAATCTGCCAGCAACAACTGATAGAGGCAGGAACCGTTAGGCCTAAAGTCTCTGCACGTGAAAAGTTTTTCTAACACATTTTCTGTCATGTGCCAGAATAAAATAATTTTGATTCAAAGAAAAACAAATTAGTTACAAAAACATACAAGAGAATCCTGCAGCCTGTATCCTGCAGTCCCCCATCCTTTCCCTTCTCATGGAGGGCTTGATTCCTTTGGGAAATGTCATTCTAATCCTTATAGGATATTTCCTTCTAACATCTATAAAGGGATGAAACGCTTTGGTTTTACTTACTTCGTACATAACTGGCATTAAAACCTTTCTTTTGGATACTGAAGTCACTTTTAAATGACACAATCATTTCATTTCCAGTAGAGTTATAGGATAATCCTTTGGCAGTGATGCCACAAAGGTTCATTGGGCTTTCTCCATTGTCTAATGTCAGTGAATCATAAATGCAGCCTGGAGCTTCTTCAATGTCAAAATCAATAAATGTTAGCTGTATGATAAATCCATGAGGTGCTCGGATGATCCACTTGCATGCTTGACTGTTGGGATAGTCACTGGGGAAGCATGGGGAAGTGAAAACTCCAGAGGGGTCAGTTAGCACGATCCTACAGTCATAGCATCCATAAGCTGACAATAAAAACAGAGAAGGCTGGAGGTCAGGCATAAAGTAACTTAAAAGACAAGTAATCATCAACACAATAAGTAAATGTATTTCTATATAGAAAAACATAAACAGAGATGGGAGAAAGAAAGGCAGGAAAAGGCCTTGTTTCTAGTGGGCAAAATGCTGGAGGAATAGTACAGGAAAAGAATATTTTATATAAGAAATCTTACAGCAAATAAACATAAATTATACTGCTAAATATTAATTTGTGCACAATATATATTTGCCATGTATATTGCTCTGATAAAGGCAAAGTGAATGCAATCTTTTTTAATTCAGAAAGGCAAATTCTGAGACTGCAACTTCAAGAAAGATGACTGATATAATTTACATTTTTTGGCTGCTGGTCTGATGCACCAGCAGCTCTATGCCATGCTACTGTTTCCAGAGAAGTGACCCTGGAAAGAGACACAGGAGACGGGTTGAGGAGCAGCAGAAGTGGCAGTTCCTGAAGATTAGTCATCTGCATTTCCAGCTAATACCCTTCACCTAAAAGGGTAGCAGTGAGCTACTGGCTTTTGAACCAACAGCAAATCACTATGTTCTTCCCATGCTGACTCAGCTCCATTGACATGCCTGTGATAGTCAGGCTTTAAGAAATTCTTTTCCTGTTCCTCATACTCCTTTGCTCACCTGCTGTGCTCATCCACAAGAACTGCAAGCCCAGTTAGTCCCCAGGGTTGCATTCCTTGTTTGGTTTACATTTGCTCATTTATCATATATTTAGTTAGCATAATGTATGATACAATTACCATAAACTTCCTGCTGCTAAAATCTGTAACAGTTTGCCAAAGTATCACTGAATAAACTAGGTGTGAACTGAATATCACCAATAGGTAACCTAAGAAAGTATTTGTCACATTTATGCTGAATTACTTTGCTAATATTCCATCAAGCCAAAGTCCTGCATCAAGTACTACAAGTACGAAAAAAACAGGACAGTGTGAATATGCATTATTAGATGTCCAAACTAAAAAAAAAAACTAAAAAAGTTTGTCAAGTGCAAACTTCACATGGAGCAACTATAAAATAGCAATAAATGCAACTAACTTGTCCAAGAGTCCCTGATGTTTCTTACCACTGCCTGGGGTCTGATATTTTTCAGTCACAATTAAATGTTGTTTGGCCTAAGCAAATAGAACCCAACCCTGTGAAGTGACATGCTGAAAAAAGCAGTTTACATCTGCAGATAGAATTGGGTAGTGCATTTTACAGTTTTTAAAATTATTATTTGCAAAACACAAATCATATGACCGCAAAGAGGTAAAGAAACTGTTCATTATTTGGGCTTTCAAAGCCAGATGCAGTCTGGTTACATTAGAAAAGTTCAGTGGGATCCTTCTTTGTTCAAATGAGAAAAAAGGATTGTCTGAAACATTTGCAGGTAGCTTTGAGAAGAAGTAGTGCTCCTGGTACCGGAAAACGATCTGTGTAGTATAAACAGAAGCCTATTCACTCTGAATTTCTCTGCAAATCTTTACAGTTAGAGGACTATGCTCACCTGCACTGCAGCCCTGGTGTTCCATTTATTAACCAGAGAGGGAATATTTACTTATTAGTATGGTGACTCTATATCCTGCAGTTGTACAAACAGATGATGGCTTCATTTAGTGGTTTTTGCACAGATAGGTATAACTTTCAGAGAACCACCCTAGATTTAAAGGAGGAGGAACAGGAAAAGCATGCTCTATGGCACAAGCCACTGCAGGCAGTCTCCTAGTCCAGGGCTAGTAAGCCTTTACAGGGCAGAGCAGCTGTAAGACAGCTCTGGCTGGATCCGCCTCCCGCTGGAAGGCTCACTGATTCACGCTCCTGCCTTCCTTATTGCTAGGATGAGAGCTCAGAGGGGCTGAGCATTTGGCAGCATGCCTCACTCACTCTCCTACTCGTTCCTGCCAGAGAAACAAATGTCACAGTCATGGGCAGTTGAGAGCTTTCCCTGAGCACTCAGATGGACCTGGGGTTCAGGGACTAAGCTGTTAAGTGATGTAAACACATTTAGGAACATGGGTGTTAATGTACACTCATTCATTCTTGGACATCTAATGTAATTTTAAGGCATTATAAAACATTGCTGAACCAGATAAAATATGCTACTTGTCAGTAAAAGTGTTGTTCTCTTATCAGTAGAATATTACATTCAACCTGAGACTGGAAAAGTCAAATTTGTCCATCAGAAAGAAAACTGATGTTCCTTGTCTTTATTAATTCAATTGATCATCAACAGCCAAAACAGGACTCATCTTTTCTATTCATCTCTCCCTTGAGTTTTTATCGTTTCAAGGCTGTGTAAAAAAAAAAAAGTCAGTACACATAAGAAAAAATACTTTTATCCCTTCTGTCACTGCAAATATTAAACCAAAAATGTTATTTCTTTTATTTTTTTAATAATTTAATTTTTGCAGTAATGTATTCTCATTTTATTACATCCATACAGTTTTGTTGGTTTTACGGAACTAATGTAAAAAAACCCAGAGCCTAAATTTAGGTAGGAAAATAAGTGCTCAAAACTTTGCATACACATAAGAAGAAGATTTGGTAAGCAAAATAGTTTACTTTTTTTGAAGTGGGTTGGCTCCATTTTGGCATAGTAGCTATTCTGTCCATGACTGCAATTTGAAGGAGAAATATCCTGTTTTCATGCAAATGTCCACAGTAGTAAGTAAAAAGAAAAGAAAACAAACAACAAAACTATATATAAACAGAATGGTTTTGAATGGAACTTTTTGCACAGCTTCTCATGAGGCAGTTATTTTTCTATAAACATCACCTATTTTACTCATTAAAGAGAAAAATTGCTGTGGCAACCTTAGGCTGTCAGCCAAAGCTGACAGATATTTTGCAATCCCATTGGCCCAGAGCAGTTCTGAACTATGGAGACTGAATACTTGTTGCAATACACACCACAAACATTTCCACAAGCAATCCAAGATATTTATTGATTTTAATGCGAACAAATTTAGGTATGATATTCCTGGTCAGGAACCCCACATAAGCAGAATCTGCTGACCTGTAATTTTTACCACCATAGACCACAGGAAATTCACTCTCTAAATATATTTTATACAAATATATTTATACAAGGCCTTTCTCTCCACCACCCCCCCCCACCCCGGGATTCTTCCCCAAACCAAAATGAGCACCTCTTTAGATAGTGAAATCAAGCACTTAATTTCAACATTTTGTAAACTGAAAGTTACACTTCTTTTTTTCTGCATCATACTCATACTTCCTATAACAAAAGAATAATTAAGTTTTTAGTGTGACACTTCAACACTAGACTAAAAAAGGAAATAATTAAAATCTTCTGGAGTAACTTAGAGCTTTCACCAAAGTTATCAAAGCAACTCACAGATGTCAATTGCCTTCAGAAGGAGCATTAACTATAGTGAAAATGGTATGCAGATAACGGGACAAAAATGGCAAAACTTTCCATAGATTTTGGGTTCCTCAAAGAAGAAACGAAACTATTGATTTTTCTTAACTACTTAGTATGTGTACAGGGTTTTATATGTTCAAAGCACACTATCAAAGCACACTTGAAACTGCAGCTTGGAGAGCACTCTGCCAATCTGGCCCACTGTAGAAAATCAAAAAATGAGTATTTAATGGCCAATGGAAAATTTTGGTCACAGCAATTTGGCCATCTTTGATAAGAACTTGTCAGTAAAGGCAGGGATAGAATCCCATTCTCATTGTTGCCAGTGTTCCTAACCATGCAAACATTCTCTGTTCTATGAGTCTCCTGTCGATTTTACCTATATACCTTTTAATTTCTGTGAAGGGGAAAGTACCTAATACTAGTCTGAATCATCTGAAGCCTGCCCTAAAACTAAGGGGCTAAGTGAAACAGTATGTGATGCATTAAAGATTGCACCATACCAACAGACATGTACACTCAAACCTCATACCTTATGAAAAAAATTAATTGACCATCTTGTTCTGTCTACTGATTTTGCCTCTTTATAGAATCCTAGCACAGAATTCCACCATTTGAACTCATGAAGACACCTGTAAACACTGAAATGCACAATTTGAAAGCAACTTTCATGAGCCAGTTGTGGGCAGCTGAAGCAACAATCAAACACAGAGCTACAATGCTTAACTGCAGATTTAGGAAGGAAACATTCTTTATATAACCTTATCCCATATGTTCATACTTCTCTCTTTTTTTTTTTTTAAATTTTTTCTTAAATGACTAACACATTCCTCCACACTTTCCTCCAAAATTTGTGTCATATTTTCCTCCAGTTTCCAACACTTCTCTACTTCTCTCCTTCCCCCCCAAACCTATCTTTCACCTTATTATGTTCTGCACTTCTTTATCAGGCATGAGTTTTGACTCCTACCTCTCCACCTGCTTTCATTTCTGCACTTATCCAAGCTTGGAGAAGTGCTGGACAACAAGTTTTGTTTGGCCAAGAATTTTTATAAGAGCGCAAAAGCAATCCAGCTTGGGACACTCTCAATTTCAGCCCTAAAGACCTAAATTTTGTGACTGTTAGGATCAAAAGAAAACAGTGTCTCTGGGGAAAAAAGTCTGCAGTTGAAAATTGTGCATTATCCAGTTTGTTTTCAAACTGAGTTATACCTTGCATTGGGTCTTCCTTTTTCCAGCTGTGGGATGCAGCATTTTCCACCTGACAGAAGTGTAAATGACTACATATGTGTAGGCAGTGGCACAGGATACCAATGATAGCCTGTGTGGGTGGAATTAGCACTACTTTTTTAATACATTAAAAGGTTCCTTCATAAAACAGAGTGCTGTTGGATTTCATTTTGTCATGAAAATTAAATTTACTTCTCTCTGAGGTGATACAATTTTCACATGAAAATATCCTAAAATAAATCTATGTAGCTCTGGAATTGAATTTTCAGAAAACAAACCAAAACATTTTATGCTAACTCTAGTCATATTTAAGTGGACAACAAAATCTCCCTTGCCTGACAGAATTAGGCCAAT